ATATATATATATATATATATAATGATTTGTGAAATACATATATGCATGTGTCAAAATCTGTCTGTACTTGTTAGCTTGATGTCGTCAAGCATCTTTATAATAACAATTTCTCTCTATATCACCGTATTAAATTTTATTACCGAGTATGAATTTTTTGTGCACGGCCCTCGTTTGCAAAAAACCTCGTATTTCGGCTCATTTTTGTTTCGATGGCGGTTTTACTTGTTATAAAATAGCTCGATTCATTAATATTACGCTTAATCCGAGAGTCTCACAAGTTCCTCGTGGCTTATTAATTATGTTCTAAACGCGCACATGGCGAAATGTACGAAAGATAATCATTCGGGCAAATGATGGACAGTGCACAACGATCTAAGACATCTTTTTGTTATACAAGCACACTTTGTAACATTCGACGTATGCACACAACTTGAGTAGAAAAAATATCTATAACAGATACATTATCTATTCCTCCTTACATACAAAACTATTATTACACAGTATTAATTTTTATAATTTGCGGCTTGTAGCAAGTCGGCAAGTCAATTACTCCCTAAGAATGTGTATTCCTTTGTAAAGAACTATTCTCTTTCCTCTTTTCCTCACGTAAACAAACTCATTCGATGTTAAGTGCATTTCCAACTGCTACTACAACAATCTCTGTTTCCTCCGCACATAATTTAGAATTTACGCACAGAATATGAGAATAAATTATAACAAAGTAATCTCTCTCTCTCTCTCTCTCTCTCGGTTGGGGGTATTTTCGCAACGAAACATTCGAAGAATCATCATTAGCGTGTCATTATTTATGCAATGTCCCAAAACGGACATCTCTCTCCAATTATTACAATTTGAAGTTAGACGTTATTATGGTGTTTCTCGGAGCTGAACACAGAATACAAAAATCGACTAGCGTGAACTAACGAAGTGAAATCGTATCTCATACGGATATTCACGGTATAGTTACAACGCATATTTTAATCTAATCACAATCAAGGGCTCCGGAATAATCGGCCGAGAACTCCACGTTGACAGTGGCGACACGGATTAGAACGCGACAAGAAGATAAACTAATGGAATACGTCCACGGCAAGCGCTACGTTTCGATGCGTTTCTCCTTCCTCAACTATCCTTTGGATCCGCGCAAAGGAAGGAAAAGAAGGAAAAGAAGGAGAAACGCTTCGCATTTGTGTGGCGCTTGCCGAACCGCACTTGTACGCGTGAAGAGAATGGCGCGGATTAACAAGGAAATTTTGTGTCGCGTGTCCATTTCCTTATTATTTGCTTAATATCGTGCAAGTGCAGCGACTTGTGACATACTTATTAAGCCTGTAAAAATGGACGAAAGATTATCATGGAATTTTATACGCGGGGGGCATATTTTCCATTCCTTTCATTCAACCGCTGTGTGAAACCGTATGTCTTCCTACATAAACGGCGCCTTATTTCGACGACTAAATTTATTGACTCGGTCAGGAGGGAAAAGGAGTTTCGTCCATTTTCACACAGAGTGTCTTCAAATTCGACCTCGAGTGTTGCTGTTTTATCCAAATATCTCTTTATTTGCAAATGGCAATATTTCTCAACGTGTCATTTCTCGCCTATAACGTCACGAATCCAATATGGCCGCGACGACTACTCCGGAGTCTTAAACCGTGACATCCCGTCCGAAATTCAGTTACACGCGAATCAATTAGACGTCCTCTGCAGAATGGTTTGATTGTACAGAAGCAAGAGAAAATGTTCGTAAATATAGAATACACACCCACGCACACACACGCGCACTACAAGCACGCACACATCACTGCGCGCGCGCGCACACACACACGTGTACGCGACACGCACGCACCCATATATACACACACACACTCACACACACACACACACACACACACAGAGGCTCGTGTTCCGAACGCGCTTACGACGATGTTAGCGCGCTGATAAATTTTTTTTATTAGTCTGAGAAGGAATTTTGCTGTAAACACGCGTGATTATCGATTTTTCTCAACACAGTACTACCGATATACTGAGAATGCTCGTATTTCTTGACTTGTTAGCCCGCTAACATCATTATACGTACATTTGGAATACGGACCATTATACACACACATATATATATATATATGTGTATATATATATATATACGATTCGTTTCTTCTTTCTGATTAAATCCGATCCACGGAGAACGATCACACAAGATCGTCGCGTCGAGAACATTAGTTCATGTGTTTGTAAATGCAATAAAACAATTGCAAATAGTCATACAAGTGACCGCCAATCAGCGCGTGACAACAATAATAATACCATGGTCCGTTAAAAGACACATATATATATATATATATACTCCGGTATAAAAACTTATAAGCGTCGATGGTGTGTAAATTGATTGATGTGACATATGATGATAAGGTTTTATTCTGGTAGAATGAAAGTTGACACTTCCTTTCTCCGTGAGTGAGAAGTCACCACGTGTATGTGTGTGTGTGTGTATATATATGAAGCACCGCACGTGTCCGAATGTCAGATAATTACCGGCGTTTCCTTTAAAAAGATGGCGAGAGGACGTAGCAACGTTGAAGCGTCGCACAATGCGACTTATCAATGCAGTGTCTCCGGACGATGTTTACGGCTATCTATGACGAATCTATCCCGAAAGTGTCCAGCCTTGACTCTTAGATCGCTAAATAAAAAATATCGGAGTAGTGCACGATGTCATAAGTCATAGTATACGTTAAAATGACAGTGTTAGGCCTTGGCATCGACTTCCATCGCGACGTCTCCTACGGCCCTTTCGGCCTTCTTTTTCTTCTTTTTCGCAGACTTCGGATTCGCTGAAGAGTTCAAAAGATTCTGCAACGTTCAATTCGAGATATATATACAGACAATGAGAAAAAAGGGAAAAAAATGCGGTGCCGATGCGAGTGATTGATCTTCGCCGTTTGAATGTTATATGTATGTACGCACCTTCAACTCGGGATCTTCCACGATACAGTCGGATTGATATACGTCGAGGTCAAAGGGAATTCCTGTAATTTTATGAGGTCCGTTAGGCATCAACAACACCGTGAATTTGAACTGCGCAGCGTACTCGTTCGGTTTCTCGTACAGCACCTGCGAATCACGAACGCCAACGTTGCAGCCTTTTTTATCTACACTGTGCAACAATTTCCGATGAATAAAAAAAAATATATATATATATAGGTAAGTAAAACACTCACTTGGAATGGCTCGATCAGCCTATGATTGACGCACTCCACTACAGCCATTTTAGCTTTCTTCTCGTCTTCGAAAGTACGTAAATTGAATGGCATGAGACCGTGCTTGTGGGATACTTCCGAGTAGAACATGCGAGATGCCTTCAATTTAAGCTGATATGTCTCCTCTGTCTTCTTGTATATCGTCACCCGAGTGTCCTGTTCCCTTCCTACACCCTCACCTGTACTAACCAACACGTCCATCGCGTAAACCTAAAATCAAAAATATTAAGTAAATTTGAGAATTACCCAAGAGGAAAAAAAAAAACACGAAGTAAAACCAGTGAAGAACAAAGGTCGGTAAGAGCTAACGCAGTTAAACATTTGCGAAGTAACAATAGTCAAAGTTTATAGTTTACAGAATTATTATTATCTTTGCGTCGCAAACTGCATTGACACTTATCGGCCTTATTTTCTCTATTGATTGCGTATCAAAAACCTCAGACGTTTTTTTTAAATTTGTACAAAGTAAACCTCCCTTTGATGTCTTTTATGTATACTTTTAACAACCATCACAGTGTGATCGCTCGTCAACTTTGAACGCTAACTTTGTGTCGGCACTAGTGTGGTACCTCGTGAGTTTCGAGCGTGTATTTCTCATGTTCCTTTTTCTGTGCATCATTCGGGTTCTGGATTATCGTCTTTTCCCCGTCGATCTTGAATTGTTTCAACTGGTGACTCAGCATCCCCTCGATCGGCTTACATTTATAGGCATCACATATCTTCTCCACGGTTCCCGTTATCGTGTAAGTCTGAAAAACAAAAGTGAACATCAAACGTTTGCTCGAGATCTCAGCCGAACTCGGTCTTTTCGATTCCGCAAGATTCGAGAAATATGATAGCGCAAGGTATTGTCAATCCTACCTCTGTACCTGGCTTCAAAAGCCTCAATGCAGCTTGAGAAGCGTAATGCGCAGCTAGAACTACATCTGCTTTCCTGCCTGTCACCTTGTTCTCCGCTGAAGAACCAATGACAATGGTGTGCGCCACTACAGCGATGAAGCCGTCAACATGTGCTCCTAAGTCACTGCAATTACCAAGTGATTTTACCGATCATCATTAACAAGGATCAAGCAGTTGCTCGAGCATTAATTATTCAACATACAAAATGTAACTTGCGCGTGATAAGGATTTGCAAAAGAAATATTACCAAAGGGTAACATTCTTCTGCAGGGAAAGGGGAAAACTTACACTTTAACCATATCCTCGTCTTTAAGTATACGATCAGGTTCACTAGCGATAGGGGAGAAGTGGCAAATACAATTATTGGCTGATATGCATGTTGGAAAAGCAATCCCCTTCTTAAGTTCCTTCTCCTTTTTGAAAACTTTACTAGTCTCTTCTAGAAGCAGCTTGTCACTGTACTCGCATATCTCCCTCACGGATGCTCCAGCGATGCATTTGTCTATGACTTGCTTCAAAACTCCTGCAAATACAGGCATACATGTACTCAAGCTTATATCCTGATAGGATACAACCTCGAGAGGAACTATATATCCGATCAACAAACTAACGACAGTACTTTTCACACAGCTTTCTGTAGAGCAAATTGAAATATAGTACACCGGACGACCGAATGAACACCATGTCGTTCACTGATTATACCCAACACATAGCCAATGCTAAGTTAAAGTGGCTCTATTCAAGCATACGCACGAGTAGTTCCAGGTAAGTCTCGCAAATTTCTACCGTCGTTCTATCATCCCCGAGGATTCTATGAATTTATGAAATAGCCTTGTGGACAGGATGTATCATGGTCGGGCTAGCTTAACAGGAGCCGAGCGAGCGCGCGATTACGAACGGAGACGGATCGTCGTGGTAAACGGTGAGAATAACGTCGATTCGTAGAGACGCTAGATTCAGGACGCCTCGAGCGCACCGTGAACGTTACTTTCATCTGGCACATGGTCGCGAGAGATAGCCCGGCGTTGGCGCGCCACATTCCATATGGCTGTGACGGCGAGGAGAGGCGCGAGCAGCGTGCGTCCTCGATCGTCCAGCTGTTAGCCGTGATTATCAAGAGGTGTTTTCTTACGGTTCACGATCTCGCCGGCCATTTTATACTTGGTGACAACCAAGTCCTCGGCGATGGTCTTCTCAGTATCCTCCTTGTCCGCCATGTCTTCGGCAAACTATATCCAACTATACGGCGATCACGTGACTCCTCCAACAAGCTGGCTGGCTGGTTATCGGTGACTGGTTATCGGTTCACCGTTGGCTCTCTCTTCCTCGCGCCTACCTGTCGATCGACGGAGCGACGACGGAGAAGCGTGCGTACGTACGTATGTAGGTGCGTGAGCGAGGTCGAGTCACGTGAACGGGAAGACGAGCGAACGCGAACGCGCGGTATCGCGACGACGACCCCTGTGTTTTCGCTATGTCGAACGTTGCTTCGGGCCGCTGGGGTGGGGATAAAGGGAAAGAAGAAAACGCGGTCAACATGAATAGACCTTATTTGGTGACGGGTGCGAGGTGCGAGGAGCGTGAAACGGCGAGTCGAGTTTGCGTTTTATTCGCCGGCGGGCGCAGCAAATAGCACGCGATATCGGCTTATTAGCGAATTCGGCCGCCTGCACTAGAGCGCACTGAGCGCGCACTAAGGCTCGTTCATAATCCGTTCCTACGATTTAACGTCGTCTGTGTCGATCCACCAATAGGTACTTTAAGCCTTAAGAAAAAATGACCAATCACAGTCGAATATGAAAAGAATACTTAACTGTGATTGGTCGATTTCTTAAACCTCAAGACTTAAAAATACCTATTATGGGCCGATTGTGTTAAGCCAGCACTCATAGTTGGATCTTACACTTATAACCGTTTTAAGTTTATCTTCATATACAACGCATTTAATTGGCTACAAAGCATCTGAAGCTTCTTGTAACCAATGAAACGAGTTGTACGATATCTGAAGGTGAATTTAAGGCTATTTAAGTTGATATTACGTGCATGTCGCACGACGGATGTAACGATTGGTGATCAAACAGAGAATTTCTAAGGTGTCGAGATACAAATTTAGAGACCCTTTAAATTCTCTATTCAACAGCCAATTAGCACACCTGATATATTCATAGTAGACCTGTTTGGGAGAGTTCCATTAGCGCACGGTGCGACAGCACACATCCACTCACATCGGCCGGCGCCTAGAGTCTTTCCGCTGGACCAGCCATTATAAAATTTCATATTAAATTAGCCAATCACCACCTATGTGGGCTATCGGAGCCTATTGTGTATCCTCGGATATTAACGTATGGCAAGAGTCAATCCAGATGCAAGAGCAAATCCAGATTTGACTTTAGAGACCTTTCATGGGGAAAGTGAGAGAAATATAGTACCTGTGTGTGTGTGTGTGTGTGTGTGTGTGTGTGTGTGTATGTCCATACACCATGCAGGTGTTAATCATTGCTCGTGCGGACGCAAGAGCTGTACTTACAAGCTAAATCACACTTCCTGCAATATGTACGCCAATATGTACACCTTCTAGTTTTTTTCTTCATACAAGTCATATTTTCTTACCCAATATTTTTTCGTATATTCTTTATAATATTTACTAAGGACATACAGAGCCTGATTTTGCAATTAGATCCTTAAAAGTTTATAATAAATGAATATACGGACTCTTGCTGCACTTCACTTTGACTCACGTCAATAACCGAGCACGATATTTATTTTGATTGTTATTCGAAAAAAATCACTCCGTACGTTCCTACGAAATGGTTTCTCCTGATTATGAATATCATGATAATAAGATTATAATAATAATTCTCCCTTTATTTTGGCCTGAAACCTGGAAGTAAGATTTTGTAGTTCCGAGGTCCCCGCGAGATATCTCCATCATTGGTCTCTTCTTTATAGCTACACTGCTAAATCGGTGCAATAAATTGAAGTAAGAAAATATATATTTGTCTCGCTTCAACATACTGCACTAATTGCAGAAGTGTAGCTATAAAGAACAGACCATAAGACTCCTGGGCCAGTATTCATAGTCGGATCTTATGTTTAAAACTATCTGAAGCTTACTTTCAGATGCTCCGTAGCCGATGAAACGAGCCGTACAGCATATGAAGATAAACTTAAGACAGTATTAAATATAAGATCTGACTACGAATACCGGCCCGGGGACGGGTTTTAAAGGCCTATGCACAATGAAAATCACAGGCAACAGAAACAAAGAATAACACTGGCACTGAATTTCCAACCTATCAGAAATTATGTATCATATGCACGGCACGTGTACAGATTCAGTGCGATTAGGACCGGTATTCATAGTCGAATCTTATATATATATATATATATATAAGATTGTTAAGTTCATCTGCAGCTGTATGGATCATATCACTGGCTATGGAGTATCTGAAAATAAACTTACAACGGTCTTAAATATAAGACTCGGCTAGGGATGCGTTTCATTTAACGCTCGCGAGCATCATTCTATCCTTGTCTCTCTCGGATATTAAACAAAGACAGAACGACGCTGGCAAACGTTGCGAGCGTTAAGTGAAATATCTGCTTTATGAATACCGGCTTAAGATGAATACATATTCCTTGTTATAGAAACTCTCTAGAGAAGAGGAACGACAATCACCATCGGTCATCGCGCGAGAAAGTTCGTGATATTCACGGCGATTCATACGTCGAGAGGAACACATGAGGGTACATACACACAACACATATGCATGCATACATATTATGTACACATATATGTACTTTGCATGCACACACACACACACACACACGCGCACATACCGCAGGAACGAGATGCACCCCGCGTGAGACCCTTCGCAATATGCATTAATTACCGAAGGGAATGCGACGCGAGGGAGCGAGGCACACGGGGGGAAAAAGTGAGCGCTTACTGTGCGCCGTCGTCGTCGTCGTCACGGTGGTACTGCCGCACGAGCGGTGTGCACATCGTAAATTATAGCGAGAGCGAAGAGTGACAAGTCGCTGCTGCTGCTGCAGCGGCGGCCGCCGTATAGGAATGTGGCACTTCAAAATGGCTGCCAGTTACTCTAATAATTTACGGCCGTGTCTGCCTTTGTTGCGCGTGTGAATCGCAGGTAGAAGCGCGCACACTACCGCGCGGAATACCAATCCTACCGTTGGCCGACGACGGTGCGCGCGCGCGCGACCGTCGTACGTACGTACGCACGCGAGCTCAAGGGGGAGAGAGAGAGAGAGAGACGGTGGTGTGTGCGCGCGTACGCGCGTGTGTCGTGTGTGCATGTGTCCGTCTGCCTGCCTGCCTGCCTGTCTGTCTGCCTGCCTATCCGCCCGCCTGCCTACCTGTCTGTCTGTCTACTACCCGATCGTCGTCCGCTCGTCAACTCGCCCGTGTCCATACTTCCGTACCGTATCAGAGGATCAGGTGGCGACATTCTTATCGCGGCTGGTATCAGTGACGGTTTCATTGGTCGCGGCTCTATCTTACACACAGCCTCGTCACATGGACCGCGCGGCACGTACGTGAATGCAACAAAATATGCTGCGAACGGCCGTCCCTGCTGTTGTTGCTGCCGCTCCTCGCGTGTTGAACGTTCCCGTGCCGGGAGAGCGTGCCCGTCCTGTGAAATCGCACGACGGGCATTTACTCCCGCATCTCGAGCCTGTCGTCGTCGTCATCGCCGTTCTCGCGCGCCAGGAGAATACCTTGGCGGACTGACAAGCGCGCGCGCGCGCACACGCACGAACGTACTCAGGCACGCACGCACGCTCGACACCAGACTTCGTCGCCGTCGTGCTCTCAGCATCGGGTCCAAATGGAAGCGGAGATATAGGTTAGCTCGTCTTCTCACGCCTCGAGGAAGGTCGCGCTATTTTTCCGAGATACGCGAGGATGCCGAGAGCAGGCATCCGCGCGACGTGATGTCGCGCGGACCGCTGCCTCCTCGCCAGCGTTGCGGCCAGACGCCACGCGACGTCCGTGCGAGATCGGTCACCGCGACGACGACGGTGTGAAATAACTTCGCTCGCTGGACAGACTGGAAGACAGATCGCCATAGTCCACCCTCCCTCACGTCGTTATCACTCGTTCCCCGAAGACTCGAATTAATTCTCATATTCCTCCTAACATCCATCGCTACCACGATGACGTACCACCGATGTGGTCGTGTATCGTCGAGGAACGTTCGAGCGTCAAGGCGGCCGAGCTCGAGTGCTTGATAAAAAAAAACAAAAAGGGCTCGCTCGTGGTTTCGTGTTGCCCGCGTTCCACGCGTGTCGTATATGTGCTGGTTGTCACAGACTGAATGCCGCTCGTCGTAACACTGCCGTTGCCATGATGCCGGGCATCGTTCTTGGCAGGCCGAATTACCAGTGATCATTGTACACCACGAACACTGTAAGTATCGCCTGGGAGGACCTTGAACTATGCCTACACGTGGACTGTTTGAACAACGCGTGACACGATCGTGTATACATGAATTTCTTTTTGTCTTGGATACCGAGTTGCACTGACTTTTGTATGTACCGTGCAGACTAACCCGTTGAAGTATTCACACACACAGATGCACACGCGAAGTTAGGCCTGTGTATTCCTGTCAAAGGGTTCCCCAAAATATAGCACAGCTTCACGCGTGAAGACTTTAATTGTATATATATAAGACGTTGAGTTCGCATTTGACAAAGGAGAAGGAAAATCGAAGGGATCGCGAGATAAATGAAGAGAGTACAGGAACCGAGAGGACTTGCGTTTCAAGCATGATACTTTTGTAAATTAGAATTACGTTTGTAGTGCACACAAGAAATTCTGTTTCAACGTATCCAACAATGTGTTGTATAAAATTGTCAGTATCAGGTTTAGAAAGATACGTAACGACAGAGGGAGATAGATAGAGAGAAAGAGATGATACTTTGTACTGACAGTGTCGTTGTGGATCCCCGTTGTAAACAAATATTTCGTGAAGAGCTGCATTTTCCAATACTTTATATATACACACACACAGAGGGTATTGCGTACCTTTTTTAGAAAATGTAAAACTCCTTAAGTAATCTGGAAGCCAAAACTCTTGCTCGAAGCCGCCGGGCCTATTTTCAAAACTGTAAAACGACCGGAGGCGAAAAATACGTACGTGCGACACAATGCGCACATGTTTACTAGACGCACATACGTGGTTGGTTGGTGTCACCCTGTTATTCATCAATGATTCAAGGCGCGCTATCTCCGGCCGCCACGATTGGTCCTTCGAAACTGACATCCGAAAGAATGCAGAAGATCGATCGAAGACGATTTTCGTTCGAGAAAGAATACTCGCTCCAGATTCCTTAAGGTTGCCGCAATCTAATAAATGACACACACACGTGGAATGTTGTTTATGTTGTAGATACCTTTATATATATAGATATATATGTCGCAGCTGGATTAAAGCTAGGTCCCGGAGGGCCTAGCATGGGCCACTATGAATCCACCTGCGGTCAGCAAATTGAGCACCCGCGGCTCCGGTTATCATCAGAAAGCGCTCGCTGAGATCCGCAACTCCTTGCTGCCGTTCGCGAATATCGGCGGGGCCGGTGAAGTGGGCTCCAGCGCCGCCAGCACCATCTCCACGCTATCGACGACCAGTGGCATCAGCTCCGCGTCGGGTCTCAGCGGGCTGTCCGGCGCCTCGGGCTCAACCGTCGACAAGCCGGACCAACGGCAGGCGTTGGGCCAGCTGTTGGCCATGGGGTACTCGGAGGTACGACTATCGCTCGAACCTTACAGACGGAGAATATTCGCTCGATCCCCCTCGTGATTTCCAGCCAAGCGCTACCGGTAATTACGCTCGTTCGCAGGAGATCGGGATGCGCGCCCTCAAGCTCGGCGGCTGGCGATTGGACGCGGCGATCGAGTTCCTGAAGCAGGTCCAGGGGGACTCGTTGAACGGGCTCGGCAAGCTGAACACCAAGCTGATACGGAAACCGAGCCTGGAGAGAGAGCTCAGCCTGCAGCGCGGCAGTCCGGCGTTGGACAGCGGTGCGGGCAGCTCGCGGTCGGACAGTCCGCGTCTCACCGAGCTCAGTCCGCATCCCCAGCTCAGCCGGCAATACTCACCGAGCAATTTCGTCGAACCGCCCCCGCCTCCGCCGCCTCGATGCAGCTCCACACCGCCGCCGCCGCCGCCGCCCCACGCCCCGTACAGCCAGCCGAACGTGCCGACGAATATGCAGCAGATGCTGAAGCGGATGTCGCCGGCGCCGGTGGTGCCGACGAGATCGCCGGCCGCCGCGCCCGTCGCCACGACCTCGGTGAACCCGCCGCAGCGTGGCACGAGCCCGGTCGCGAGCAGCAACAGCAACTCCAGCAGCCGTCAGCCGATGATCGTGCAGAACGGGCCGCAGGTGCAGCAGCAGCTCACGCAGCAGATACAGGCGCTCAGCATTTACCAGACCGGCAACGGGAACGCGCAGGTCGAGCCGCCGCCCCCGTACCCCGTGGTGCCGTCTTCGTCGGCCGGGCCGGTGCAGCCGCCCTCTTACAGCGCCTCCATACAGAACCGGCAGAGCCCGACGCAACAGGATTACCGCAAGAGCCCGTCGTCGGGCATCTACTCCGGGCCGACATCCGCCGGCTCGCCCAGCCCCATCACCGTCTCCACCATTTCGCCGAACGCCACGCAGACGTCGATGGCGAGGCCGACGCCGTTGCAGGCGTGGGGCGCGCGACAGGCGAAGACGCAGCCGCCGATCATCATGCAGTCCGTGAAGAGCACGCAGGTGCAGAAACCGGTGCTGCAGACCGCGATCGCGCCCACCTCGCCCCAGCCGATCTCGACGACGAGCAACACGCCGCCGCCGCCGCCCTCCTACGCGACCTCCATCCAGCAGAAGCAGCAGCAACCGCCGCCGGCTTACCCGCCGGTGAACAACGTCGCCGCGGCGTCGGCCGCCGCCAGCATCGGCGTGCCGACCACCGAGCCGCCGAGCTACGCGACGACGATGCAAGCGTTGGCGGCGCAGCGCGGCATGCACCATCCGCCGCCGCCCTACGGCACACCCACGGAGAACAGCACCACGGCGGTGGAGAGCGGCAGCGCGCCGCGCTCCTCCCCGGTCGCCCACCACCCGCCGCTTCAGAGGAAGTACTCGCCGGCGGACAACTGCGGCCAGCACGCGGAGACGCCGCCGTTGCCGCCGGTCGCCTCGAGCTCCGTTTCCACGAGGACGAGCAACAACCACTCCTCCCTGCCCGACAGCGGCAACAGCAGCGGCAAGAGCGGCAGCGGCGGCGGCGGCGGCGGCGGTAGCGGCGGTTCCTCGCCCTCGTCCTACAAGATCAAACATCAGTCACCGATACCTGAGCGCAAGCACATGAGCAAAGAGAAGGAGGAGGAGCGCAGGGACTGCAAGGTAAGGAATTACTCGCCGCAGGCGTTCAAGTTCTTCATGGAGCAGCACGTGGAGAACGTGCTCAAGTCGCACAAGCAGCGTCTCTACCGGCGTCTCCAGCTGGAGACGGAGATGGCGAAGATCGGGCTGAGCGAGGAGGCCCAGTGCCAGATGAGGAAGATGCTCTCGCAGAAGGAGTCCAATTACATACGGTTGAAGCGAGCGAAGATGGACAAGTCGATGTTCACGAAGATCAAGCCGATCGGCGTGGGCGCGTTCGGCGAGGTCACGTTGGTGCGGAAGATCGACACGAATCAGTTCTACGCGATGAAGACGTTGCGCAAGGCCGACGTGCTCAATCGCAACCAGGTCGCTCACGTAAAGGCCGAGCGGGACATACTGGCCGAGGCCGACAACGAGTGGGTCGTCAAGCTCTACTACTCATTCCAGGACAAGGACAATCTTTACTTCGTGATGGACTACATACCCGGCGGCGACCTGATGTCGCTGCTCATCAAATTCGGCATCTTCAAGGAGCCGCTGGCGAGATTTTACATCGCCGAGCTCACGTGCGCGGTCGAGAGTGTACACAAGATGGGATTTATTCACCGGGACATTAAGCCTGATAACATACTGATCGATCGGGACGGTCACATCAAGTTGACCGATTTCGGCCTCTGTACCGGATTCCGTTGGACTCACAACTCGAAATATTACCAGCAAAATGGTGAGTTCGAATTTAGACGATTGGACTCTTCCGCGCCTGAAACGCCGCCACCACGCATATATGTGATGTTGTGCAGGGTCGGGTGGTAACTAGTTAATCAGTTGGAAAGTTACAAAGTTGGTAACTTCTAACTTGACTTGGTTAATTTTTAAATATGTTGACTTTTGACTTAAACTGGTTATTTTTTATTCGAACTTTTTAGCTCTTTGCTCTTCTACAAGTTAAAATGTTTCTTCAGTGATTATTTTCTAACACAGAGAAATACAGACGCTACGCACAGCGGAAAAAACAGATCAATGAGCGCTCAATGATTATTGTCTGTGACTAGAGATGTTTTTAGATCTGTGCATCAATCAGGAGCGATAATCACTAAGCGTTCACTGACCCGTTCTTTTCGCCGAATGCAGCCGAAGTCATTTCGTTGGCTACATATTATCTCGAAATAGTCTTATGATGATACTTAAAAAATGAAACAACTTTGTGCCTCTCTGTGTCTCTCCTTGCAGGAACGGCTCTTCTCTTTTTTGCTCTTTTTTTTACAAGTATACGTAAAATTAGCAATAATATGGGCACGCTTGAAATAGTTTTTCCTTTCTCGATAAGGTAATCTCCGAAGTACTTTTTTTTCCTCATTCTTTCAATGCGTTTGTATTGCTACAATTCTCGTTACATTTTTTCAATATTCCCCTCAATACGTACATGTAATTGTAGGTCATGGTAAGCAAGATTCAATGGACCCAGCTGACGATTGGAACAAGGAGTGTCGGTGCACACAGCTGAAGCCGCTGGAACGTAGGCGACATAGGGAACATCAGAGGTGTCTGGCACATTCTCTGGTGGGCACGCCGAACTATATCGCGCCGGAGGTCCTGCAGCGCACCGGATACACGCAGTTGTGCGACTGGTGGAGCGTGGGAGTGATTTTGTACGAGATGTTGGTTGGTTCTCCACCGTTTCTTGCCAATACGCCCGCTGAAACTCAATATAAGGTGTGTACATCACATGTAGCGTATAATTATTGTATTTATTAATTATCGGGATAACAGTTAGTTCTGTCCTATTGAGAGCAAAATTACGATGTGGAATGAATGCAAGTTCATCTTGTCGTAAGTAGTTTCAAGGACAAGGAATTAAACGTAGGGAATTGGGAATAGGATAGTAGAAGTAAACTGTAGTTCAAAATATAACGAAAGAGTAACAAAGAATAAGAGATATTTTACAGGCATGTCAGCGACTTACTTTTCTCGTTTTCTCTTTGTTCACTTATTTAGAAACCTCTTACTTTTCCTCATTTTTGAAGAACAAAAATTCTTATTCAATGCGAGCTCTTTTAGAACAAAACTTGATCACAAGAAATATTCGTAATAACCAGTTTCTTTGAGAACCAAACGATTCAAAGAAAACAGAAAATAATAATGACTCCACGATGTAATATTCATGAAGTAAGAGCGGGGGCAAGTTGTATGTGCGCAAGTAGATATTATTAATGTTGGCCAATAAAAGTAGAAAATTATATTAGTTAAAACGTTGTAGTCAAATCATTACATTTGATCCTTTTCGGTGATATAATTACGAGTATATCGCGCAGTGTAATCGATTTTCAAGAAATGCGTTAAAAAAATATAACCTGCACTAAAAAGAACTCCGTACGACTTCGATAAAATGTCCAGTCAGGCCTCACGAAGAACATTACAAAAGCGTCGTTTGTGTTGGCAGGTTATTAACTGGGAAACGACGCTTCACATCCCGAAGCAAGCGAATCTGTCGCCGGAAGGTATGGATCTAATATTGAAGCTGTGCGTTGGCGCGGATCGTCGGTTAGGTAAGAACGCGGATGAGGTCAAGAGCCATCCGTTTTTCGCGAATATCGATTTCGAGAAGGGCCTGCGCCGTCAGGTGGCCCCGCATATACCGCGTATACAGTATCCTACCGACACGAGTAACTTCGATCCCGTTGATCCCGACAAACTGCGTAACTCTGAGTCCTCGGACTCCAACAAGTCGGACGAACTGTTGGACAATGGTAAGCCGTTTCACGGCTTCTTTGAATTCACGTTCCGGCGATTCTTCGACGACGGTGGCGGCCCCTCGTATCCCGGCCGAATAAGCTTGGATGATAATGACAATCAAGGCCCCGTTTACGTATGACATTAGGCTACCACCGGTGCCTTGCTCGTGAGAGCCTTGTTCATATCAAAACTTATCTCGCGCCCTGACTTTTCCATACTCTGGGAATCGCGTGTAAATATCTAAAAAAACAAAAAAGAAAGGAAGAAGAAGGAAAAATAATCTTCGGCAAGTGCGTGTCACGCGCGACTCTCGCGTTACGAAGACTCGCGCCGCGCTGACTCGGCCGCGTTAATGGATGCGTGTGCGCGCGCATGTGTGTGTGTGTGTGCGTGCGTGCGTGCGTGCATGTGTGTGTGTGTGTGTGCGCACGTTTTGAAGCGCGCAAAAACGGGAGGGTCCCGGACATACCCCTCAGTTTCAGTCATTGGATATGTCCAATCACAGCGACCTATGGTCGGATATGTCCCTAGGCATCGGCCAATCACACGCCGCGATCGAACGTGTCCGGTTGAAACTGTGCGCATCCGGGACTCGCTCCCGGTAAAAAATTTACGAGGCAAGTCCCTGATTCGATGTAGCGGGTTTATTTTTTTATCGGACTTTTTACTGTACAGTACTGTGTATTATTCGTCATTTATTTTTTTTTTTATGACGAGATCTTTCTATTGAAAGGTACGCGAGGAAAGAGAAATTTATATACACGCGTGTGTAAAGAGCATATCGAGAAGGAGATGGGCATTTACAATGATTTACAATGTCAACACGTAATCTCTATCATGTTAACTCTCTTGGGCGCACGTTGCACGACGCATTTTTTTTTAACGTGTATTACGCGTGATTTTCGTCGTTTTGTATTTTATCCGGTACACGATCGAGGTACTCGGCTGCGTGAATAGTGTGAAATGTGAGTTTATTTTTTCTTTTTTTCTTTCCTTTGCCGATGTTTAATTAATTTGTATGTATCGACATGGACGAGAGAGGGGGGAGGTGATGGAGAGAAAGAGAGAGGGGGGATNGAGAGAGAGAGAGAGAGAGAGAGAGAGAGAGAGAGAGAGAGAGAGAGGAGGGAGAGGAAATGATTAATGGCTAGGCAATATATTTTCAAATAGAGGATGTTTAAAAGAGAAAAAGTTGAAAAGAAAGAAATATTTTGCTTGGCATTTTCACTCGTTTTTATTGGCTTTCGTATTGGAAAATGCACGTTTAGTATGTTACAGCAAGTACTGTGATATTGCAGGTAATTAGAGTAATGTGGCTTTTAAAGATACCAGTTCTATTTAACAATCGTCTTTTATATCAAATTCTACGATGAATATTATAAATAATAATTATTAAAATATTAATTTTATTAATGTATAGACCTTTCGAATGGATGTAATGTGTTCATTGCGTATTTTAATCCAGCTTTTTGAACGTCTCTTCAATACCTTCTTAATCCTTAATCCCCAAGGAACAATTATAAATTTATTAACGCGTTGCATACATTACTCGTGCGCGTCTTTTCTACATCCCCAGTTTAATCGTATATGCGTCGATGTGTCATGAAAATTGTCATTGCCGAACGAACACGTGAAAATTCGAAGGGGGAGGGGGGGGGCAAAGCGAAGCTCTCCGTTGTACAATAAAGTTTCGTTGAGGCAAAAATCGACGTGACAAAGCGGGGGCAAGCAAAACACGACGTCCGTGTGGTGGACGGTCGTATAGTTTTCGTTGTAACACGATATCATAGCAAAGTTGCCATCACTTGTAACTAATGTCCTTAACAGTAAAGGCCTTAACATTAGCGAGGAACTGATGTATATATGTCGCTGTACGAACGAGTTTTAACCATTTTATATTCGTATCGTCGAAAGTTGAGTTTTACGCATCGAGAACGCAGTTTATAGGACCGCCTGGTGTATGTGTTCCGAGTCCCGGGAGCTCGATCTAACGTTTCCTGTAACGACAGTACCGTGTATAACAATAAATAGAGAGTGCCTTCCTCCGAGCGTGTCGAGCTTTTATGCGGAGGGACAGCGCCGAGATATTTTCCAAAAGTGTCCTTTGTTGTTCGGCTGCCGTTCGAAATTGTCTTCCAATATGACTTTTTTCGCTTTATATATATACATATGTGTATGTTGAAAATATACGTCAGAGAATTCGAAATCGCCTCAAATAGATTATCCAGTGCCTTACTAATTTGTCCTTAACGTGAAGTCGTACTAAAGTACAATCGGCAGTATGCCTGCGAATTACATGCGATTACATGTAGCTTCGTAATCGAGGATAATCGGATGTAGATTACACTATTTAATAGTCGTTACGTTATTCGTTTATCGAAAGTAGAGAAAGAAGAGAGAAAGAGANGGGGGGGGGGGGGGGAAGAGCAGTGTACCATTTGAATTAATTATGTATATGTACTATATATAAAAGTAAAAAGCCTATATATTTATCGTTAGCTTTAATGCGTGGTCATTGAAAGAAATAGAATCTTTTTAACAATTGTACTTTTAAGTACTTTAACGCAAACAGAGGACGAAGACGGAAGGAAGAGTACTCACTAAGTGGCTGTTCTCTTATACCGCACGCTATACTTTTCGTATGTATTCCCGTAACATAAGTGGTAGCGTCAGTGATAATCGGCACCCGTGGCTACATTAATCGCGCAACTAATTAGACACACACACACACACGCGCGCGCGCACAGAGATATATATATATATATATATCTCTAACTTTTGTCGTCGTGAAGTGTCTAGCTATATATATATATATATAGCTAGACACTTCACGACGACAAAAGTTTTGCTGCAAACAAAAAAAACGAAACGAATACAAGGATAGGTACATATGTCCAATTGCAGCAAGCGTGAGATGAAAAATTACCGTTATAGTTATTTAATACATTTGATACTGCGCTGCGCGAATGGAAGAAAAAAAATGTGGTTATTTACTTTTTTTTATTTTGCGATTATATAAAGTATGTTAGATATCTGGTATATTCTGACTACGATTTTTTTATCAACTAAAATTGCTATGAGATATGTGAATCTAATGTGTGAAGGTAACTTGTACACGTAAGTACTGACAAAAGATCTAGTAATCTCTTTGTTTTTATTGTAAAAATAAATATAGGAGTTTGTAAGATATTAGAAGGTAATCGTATAAATTTGTTACTGTCTATGCGAAATATTCGAATAGATACCTGACCTGTGTGGTATTAATAAATTATGAACTTTTTAGCACACACCTGTTGCGTAATTTATTTTATACATATAGCTACGGGAACGAATAGTATAAGAAGGGGAGAATATATCGGTGGTTGAACGATAATCGAAATTGTACGAACATTCCAAGTATCGCGTAGGAATCAATACGAAGGACGATCGAGTGTATTACGTGCATTGTGAAAAATTGTGCCTCTGTATATTATTCAGTGAGTGTAAAAGTTTTGATGGGTTTCGTTATGAAAAATTGGGCTCTTGCATTTTTTCAAAAATGATTTTGTAATGAATAAACATTAATAAATACTGGGTGTGGGAAAAAGTTAGTGGCGTTTTTTTTTTTAATAAAATTCAAGTGTTTTTCTTAGAGATTAAAATCAATTTATTCAAACTAAATATGCTCCATTGTTTTCGATAATATTTTGCCATTTTTGGGGCAGAGCCATAATCCCATCGCGATAGAACTTTTGTGGTTTCTGGTCGAAAAACTGTTTCGAGTGATTTTCACAGGCCCCTTCTGAAGCCAGCTTTACACCATTAAGAGAGTTCTGCAGAGACCTAACAAAACAAATGATAGTCTGAGGGTGCTATATCAGGACTATACGGTGGATGCATCAAAACTTCCCAGCCAAGCTCTCGCATTTTTTGCCGAGTCATCAAAGATGTGTGTGGTCGAGCGTTCTTGTGATGGGAGACAACACTCCTCCTATCAATTCTGGCCGCTTTCTCTCAATTGCTTGTTGTAATCTCTCCAGTTGTTCACAGTAGAATTCGGAATTAATTGTTTGACCGGGCGGTAATAGCTCATAGTGAAGGATTCCCTTCCAACCCCACCACACACACCTTCATCAATCCAGGTTTTGCGATTGCTTGCGCTTTCTCTCCTTCCTTTGTCCACGATCTTTTTCGAGTTCGATTGTCGTACGTGACCCATTTATCATCACCAGTTATCATTCTTTTCAGAAATGGCTCAATTTCATCCCGTTTCAATAGCGTATCGCAGATGTTAATTCGGTCCATTATGTTCTTAACACTCAACTCGTGAGAAACCCAAACATCGAACTTCTTTTTGTACCCAGCTTTGTGTAAATGATTCAAAACTGTTTTGTGGTCGATACCTAGTTCTCTGGCAATCTCCACACTGCTCACATGCTTATCACGCTCAACTTTTTCCATTATTTCATCGGACTTTTCGGTGATTGGTCGACCGGAGCGAGGTTCACTTTTGACATCAAAATTTCCAGTACGAAAGCGAGCGAACCATTTTCGTGCTGTTGATTTTGATAGAGTATCTTCACTGTAAACAGCACCAATTTTTTTCATAAGCCTGTGCAGCGTTCTTGCCTTTATCGTAGTAATACTGCAAAATGTAACGAATTTTTTCCTTGTTTCTCTCCATTTTCAAAATAAAATAACTTTTGATCTACTTCACCGATTTCGTTCTTTTCGGCTCAAAACAAAAGTTGAAATGTCACGCGCGTCTAGTGTCGTCGATGCGATTAGTAGTTACCGAGTGCTAAGCATGTAATGCCATCTAGTACCAAACGCCACGAACTTTTCCCCATGCCTAATATGTCTGCCAATAGTACAATAGAAAAATATTGATTACAATAGCTGCTAAAACTTTTGCACTCATCCAATGCAATTTTTATAACGTAACACGTGAATTACAGCATGAGCAGCACCCCTTCACGTATACAACTGTAGATTTATGTGCGATATGCAGTACCGATATGAAAAAAAAAATATATATTACGTAGCATATTTCTCCAATTTTTTAAGATTTCCTTATATTTGCAAATGATATCTAATGAGAGTACAGCTAATCCGTGAAAGCAGCACGCTCTTTGGATATCACTCGTAAGTTACGTATACGAATAGTTACGATTGATTAAAAAATCAAGCTTCTGGAGCGTAGCTCGAATTCGTATTTTCATTTATTCTCAATTTTTAGGGCTTTAATTGCAAAATTCGGCCTTGTATATAGCTTTCCAAGCGTTTTCGTGTTCATGTGATGTCACACGATATTTTCGGATTTGTTGACTCGACCCCTACCGAAGGTTATCGTACTGCGTTCGTGCATTTTTAGAAATATACCAATCAAAACGCAGTCCGATAACTCTGAGTCGGGTCGAGTCGGGCAATCGAAAACGCCAATAGATTTTATCGTCGCTTCCTACTTCAACAACAATGGTTATCAAGGAGCAGGTTCCACTTAAAAAATGATGCGAGCGTCATTCTATCTTTATTTAATATCCAGCGAGAAACAAAGATAAAATACCGGCCGCCGGATTTTACGCATAAAACCATCTAGAGTTCATCTTTAGATGCTGTACGACTCATTTCATTGGCTACGAAACATCTGAAGAAATGAACTTAAAATGGTCTTAAATAAGATCTGATTATGAATACCAGCCTATCGGCGTTTTCGGTTTATCGACGATCGACCCGGGTTCATCGTACTGTGTTCCGATTGGTGCGTTTTTTTTCCCAGAAATTGCAGATTTTAGAAGATGCAATTTTTAGAAATGTGCTAATCAGAACATGATGACCTTCCCGAGTCGGGTCGAGTCGGCAAATCGAAGACGCCATGTGACTGGCAGTGATTTCGGAACGCAGCCTACGTCCGCGCTGGGTGTGTTCAGCGTTGCATGACGCACGCGTTGAGGTTATGTCGCGCGTGCGATGGTTTGACAGCGGCGTTTTTCGTCACGTTTCAGGACACGAGAGTTGCGTCCAGCGGGAAGTCTGTAACATGACAAATCCTTTCTTCGACGAGAATGATGCTTGGGGTTACTGGGTCGTCTCGATCGGCGCCCTCCTGTCGTTCCTCGGCCTTGTCGTCGCTTGCATCTGCAGCTGTCGACGCAACGAAAATAAGTAAGCACGTCGCGGCCGCGACTTCTGTTGCTAATTGCCCGATCAAGGGCCGATTGTTTCAACTTCTTGGTGAAATTTATCCGACAAGTATTTATTGGACAGACCGATTGACAATAGCCATCGATGTTTATCTGATAGATACCTGTCGAAAACAAATCTTATCAAAAAGTTGAAACAGTCAGCCTTTAATGCGACAGTTTTGATCATCACGACTTGTTTTTGTGATAATTTATGTTGTTAATGATTCATCGTAATCGTTAGCAGGTATAATGAAGGATGCTGCTATTTTAAATGGTTGTTAGTGAGATTTTGTTACAATAACTTTTTTTTCTAATTTGTGCTGTCCAAGATTGCGAATCCCCAGATTGATGATAATTTTCACAAATGTAGCACAGACTGTTTTACATCAGCACAAATATATATATATATACAATTTTCTGTCACTTATAGTGCATTATAGTCCCTGTGTAGATTGTAACACCGTAAGTTTTCACAGATGTATATATCTGCGTATATTTTGTATCTGTTGTACAACTGCCATCATATTATGACAGGAATGAGTTTCTGGGACTTGCTGGTATGGTAACACTGAATAATTCCGAAACAGATGGTTTCAACAGAATTCCAACAGCAGATGTGTCCCAAGTTGTTGCGCAAGATGTCAACGATGGTGGGAAAAGGTTTCTACCTCAAAAGTGACTTGGCTGCATGCAGTCTCTATACTAGCAAACATATCTTTTCATTTCCATTTCCTCTCACCTCTAACATTTCGGATAATTTGTACGCTTGTCTCCAATGAAAGAAGGATTTTAAGCCAGAAGTGAGCAGCCACAGAATTGTAAAACATTGTCGTTTCTCTCATTCAATTTTATAAGATTTCTATTTTTCATTTAGCACAGACCAATCACTTTTGTCTTGTAATCTTTCGTGATTTGCGTTATTAATGATAAGAGAAGGCAGATTAAAGGCTACTATTAACAATTTATGAGATATCACCTGAATCACAGCATGATAAGTAATATTATCTGAGGATTCACACATTGAGATAAACTACTACTAAAATCCTGTGCACATGCGTTCATATTTTTTTCATTTTATTAGCTTACATCATTCTTGATGTACCGTCTTACACGTTATATATAAAATACTAACAAAATATTAACCTTATTATACAAAGTACAATTCTTTATACAACAGCCTGCTATTCCACGGATTCAAAATTGATAATCCTATGATATTAAAAATTATGTATACTAATTTTATTAATTCACTAAATCTCTCCGTTCTATATGCGATACGAAACATATTTTAATTAAATCTGATATATCTTAATTATATAACCGACACTTCGTTTCGGTATATAGGACTACAAGTGCCAACAGAAGTCTTCCGGATATTCCAAAAGATAAGAACAGAGAACATGAGGATATAGCCGAGTCAGTACCTCAGGATATTTATGAAACGACCGAAACCATGGGAGATCATTCAGAATTGTACGCCACGGTCCAAGATACAGGTAATATCGCGAAACAGTGCGGATTAATAATATTAAAATAAACAATAAGATTGAAACAATACCGACCCCTTATTGTAACTTATTATTCCGTCTGTATTATTTTCTTCATTGATGATCCTCCGCAGGGCAAGAGCAGATATCCGAGAGGGAGACGCAGGAAACTCCCCAGCAAAGTTCTATGGCGCAAGACGCATCTCATCAGTACGCGAGATTCGCATCTCCCGTCTCTGACAAGGGTGCGTACACTTGTTAAATAATTGATTTCGCATTTTCGCGGAATAACGCGTCGGTTATCTATCTTTCAGTCGAACATCCTTACGCGCAACTTCAAAGTGTTCAGAAGACTGAGGCTAGTCAAGTAAATAGGTAAACGTAAACCCGCTGTTTCATTAGATTTACCCATTTCACCCGAGGAGGGAACTTCCATCGCCATGTTGATTTGTCATATTGCCGCAGAAATAATATTAATCAAACCAACGCGAGCATCGAGAAGCCGTCGACGTCGTCCATGGGCCAGCTGATCGGAAATCCAGTGGCGCCGCCGCGCACCCGCAGATCGTCTTCGCACAATTCGCTCCTCAGCTCCGACTCTCATTGCGACATTCAGGCCGCCAACGCTATCTCCGGCGGTGTGCAGGCCAATCAAGACCTGCCCTACATGACACCGCCCCTCTTAATGCTGCTGCCGCAGCTGCCGCAACCCCAGCACAACAGTCCGCAGCAGCATTTCAGCGGCGACTCCCAAGACTCGAGTAATCGCTTCGCTCCTGGCGAATTTATCTCTTATCGTATTTTCCGCACTTCACACGCGTTTTTATCATTGCGTTATTAATTAATTTCGTGCGAAACGAAATTCGTTCATTTAGTTTTCTCTTTGTTTCAACGTAGAAGGATACACAAGCATAAGCGTGAGGGAGCCATTAGCCAATATAATCGCACAGACCAAAGCAGCTTACAGGCAAAACCAATCGACTCGGCTGATCACCGACCCTCATTACGCCACTGTCTCCGACGATTCGGGTGAGTCGTGCACAACCGTGTTTACAAACTTCAGGACGGCAATTTTTCCCGTGAACGCTGAGAACGTAAGAGGTAAAAAGTTTCGCGTGAACTCCGCGATTCCAGCCATTTTCGAATCATGTGACACTTTGGAACAGTAAAAATACGGAACTTTTCGCCCGAACTGTCTCGCCTTACAAATCAATGGCGAAAGCTAATTTGCTCGAAGTCAATCACCGTCAATAACTGCGACGAGTCATTCGACGACGAAGTACCGATCTCTAAATCGGATTTTTATGCAGATGAAATGTACGCCGCGATTGATGAGCAGGACAAGGTGTACACCAGTGGCAGCGAAACGTACGCGCAAATTCAGCCGACGATGTTAGAAGTACAAAGAGCGGCGCAACACGACCAGATGGTATTCTGCCAGCCTCCTTCCCGCGCGGAAGAGACGCACGTTGCGCCGCAACCGCCGAGCGTCGACAGTTTGCGTCACGTTGCGCACGCCCACTCCAGACAAGGTAACGAGTGTCCGCGACTGTAAAGAATTAATGACGAAATATTCGAAGATCTCCGTCTTGACTGACTCTCAATAACGATCTATCAATGATGTCTTCGTGCTCGATAATTATTCCCTTCAACCTCCGTCGTATCGCGATACCGTGCGCGGATTTTTACTGTTTTTCTTTTTTCTTTTTAAATTTAAGCATCACCATCGTTTGCTTGTGTCATTTTTCTTCAGCATCGTCATCCAGTGCCAACAGTTCCATCATCAATCCTGGATCTCCGAAGCCCGAGAAGCGTCAAGCGAACTCCCCGCTGCCGCCGCCGCCGGAGGCAAGCGCCGAGATGTACGCGTCCATCGACAAGAAGGGCAAAGCCGACGACAGGTCGAGGTCCTCGCTATCGGTGGGTAAGTCGCTCGAGGACATGTACGCGAAGGTGATGAAGAAGAAGAGAGAAGTGGACGAACAGAACGACGCTCACCCAGCGGCCTCCAATAATCTTCTGTACCCTGAAGCGACCGCCGCCTGTAGGAAACTCAGTTTGATAGAAATCAGCCGGGCGTCCTGGTGCAGCCACGAGTCCGTGGAGATCCAGAAGAAAGAGCCGGACAATCCCGCGCACTATCCGGTCGCTGCGAACCCCGTCCCGACGAACTTCCACACCGGCAAAGGTGACGCCTCGAAACTGCCGAAAGCCGACGAGACGGACGTCGTCGCGATTTTGTGTTCGCACATGGAGATCGAGCACGGCTACGAGGCAGTCGACACCAGCGGCAAGAGGAGCTCCTCGGCGAGAAACGCGAGCTCGTCGAACTCCAACCCCGACTTGAATTACGAGATGCTGCGTCCGCAGTGTTCGCGAGAGAACGATTACCACCCGGCGAGCGGCGGTGGTGGCGGCGCGATGTCGTCCGCCAGAGACGCGCTCAGCGAGACGTACTCCGTGCCGTTCAAGCACAGGCAAGTGAGCAACGCCAGCAGCGAGGATCCCGGCTACGAGAAGGTGAGGCTACGAAGGCGCGTCGAGCTGGATCAGGACACGGACTCCGAGCCGAACTACGAGAGCATGCCCCACGACCCGGGCGAGCCCAACTACGCGTCCGTCTGCAGGCCGGGCGACAGCGACACGGATCCCAATTACGAGTCCGTGTGCCACGGCGACCCGAACTACGAGAGCGTCAAGTACATGAGCATGACGCAGAGCGAGGAGCCGCCGTACGAGCAGGTGAACAACCTGTTCCTGCCGGACGTGAACGCGGACGGGTACGAGAAGGTGAAGGACGTGAAGACGACGAGCGAGGAGACGGATTACGAGAAGATCGACACAGGCAATTCCATGGAACGGATCAGCAACGGCGACACCGACGACGAGCAATACGTTCAGGTGTAACGCGTCGAGCTCGTTCGATCGATCGACGATTCGCCACGTGCGGTGATAATCAAACTGACTGGACGGCCTGTCCTTCTCGGCTGAAGCAGCCCACGTTTTTTTTTTTACCTTCGAAGTGAAACTGATATACGGTCTGACGGTTATCCGTCCGTGTGCTCGTACACAGCCGGCAGATTAACATGTTGACGCCGGGCTGACTTTCATTGATCGTACAAAAACCCGATTGACAGTCGAAATATTGAGAGTATGGTATGCAGGTGTAATTGGAGGTACTTTCGCCTCGTTTTGTTGGCCTTTCATAGACTGTGACAATTTCGTAGATATATTTGATTATACTTTGTTAGATTTTCTACGTAACTTGATAAGAGAACGATAGTATTATATATTGCCAGTCTCATCGGTGACTATCACCATGACACGAGTTTCGCATCTCTTTTGTCCAATAAGAACATATATTTTCTAAGAATTACTTAAAAAAAATACAAATTCTATCGGACAGAGGACGCGTTGCGAAACTCGCCGAGGGAAAAAAAAAAGTATCGCAACCTTTAATCTGTCGACTGTGTAGGTTAGATTAAACCAGACGAAAAAGTTCTCCACCATTTTGCGAACAACCACGTAAAGTTGATTAAGTTATTGATGAAAATTTAGTTATCAATTAAAAAAGATTGATAAAAGATTGTGCGCGATGCGATAGAACTCGATGATGGCAGTGCTGGCAATTCTCCGTAGCGTTTACCGTAGCTTTACTGTATTTCAATCCACGCACACGTATTTCATCTTTGGTTGCGTTCAGCGAACACAACAGTTGCACAATGGTTGAGCAATTCGTCAACACAATTGGTCTAACTTTGGGGATCTAACAGTGAGGATTAGTAATCGATGACCGCTCATTGATTGCTTTCTCCCGTTGAACTCAACCATTATTTACGCGTAAATACACATATACACGTGTGTACATATCATATACACAGATATACGGGAGTGAAGGTTCGTTGGATCTGTGTATACGGAATAATTGAAATACGTAGAAGTGAAATACACGGATCATACGTCTAATCGGGCATACGTGTATTGGTGAAGTCTATTGAACACCTCACTCGTCGCTTGCCAATTGACAGTCCAAGAAGGGCGGAGTAACGCTCGCCATTTGCAACGTTGCTCCACCGGTCGCTGGTTGCCGATTGGCGAATAGAAGCTCGAAGCGTCATTTCTACGATGTTCGTCCACCGTATCATATGGAATCGCTCGCTAATCTCCTTTAATTAATCACTCAACATTTTACACGGTTGTTTGCAAGATGATGGAGGATTCTACTGTTTAGTTTGTCCTAATCTACAAGCATATATAAATATATCGGATATCGTTATACCTTGTATAACCGAGCATTCTTCTTCAATCTTCCGATAGCCAGCCAAGAGGTCTATACAACCGATATTAAAGCTCCACGTTAAAGAATTAAAATCAGCCACGGTGATATGCCGTGTACAATATTTCTAAGTTAAATTATGAAAATACCAGCCCCGAAATTCCCGATGAAATTATAAACACGGCTCTGTGTAACCTTTTCTCTCCGAACTAAAGCCCAGTTCCGTAATGGTCTTAATACGGTTGTATATGTCCAAGTTTGCGAAGTTCTCAATATACAACCGAGCGTTGAAAGGGTCGAAAGAAACGAAATTCCAACGCAGCATCGGCGCAGCCGGGAACAGGCCTTACATTTCCGTTTCGATGGAATCTCAGAGGTCTCCGAGGTCGGGATAAGCGCATTTCTCGAGACGCTTCCCGTCTTTTCATTCGCGATTCAACGAGCGACGCGAGCATGACGATTTTTTTCGCGTCACGTCGCGATAATCACGTAACGATAATGAGGATAAGACTGACGAAGACAGACAGTGAGAATAAGTTTACGAATAAGAGAAAAGAGAAAGATAGGGAGGGAAGGAAGGGAGGAAAGAGAGAGAAAGAGAGAAAGAGTTCTCGCTATTTTTTAGACGTCTTGACCGAGACACATTCCTCAATGGCAGTAGAAACTGCGATTCGAGAAGTTACCGTTAAACGAGCCTAAACGAATACTCGGCGGAGTATAGTTAGTGCGTTTGCTACTCGTAAGACACTCGGAGAATGTCGTCTATGCGAGTTACACTATCGTCTGTCTTCGATAGACTATAGGTTTGTTCTTTCTAGCTGAACTGGGTGGCTGCACGAGAACTGAACTGAATTTAACCAGTGCAAGCCGCACAGCTAAAGAATAAAGAATGCTCTGGTGCGTAAAGGTAACATGGCGCGCTATGTTAGACAGGATAATTAGATAACTCATCCGATGAAGAAGAAATTCTTCCGTTATAACCAATTTTGAAGATTTTTTTAGAAGATAATAACAGTAATGAATATGTATAAACTTACTATTATTGAATTTATCGAACTTAAATATATATATAAGTACGACTAATATGTATAAATATGTATATGAAGGAGAAAAATTGTCTCATATTGCATCGTATGTAAGTTATTACACAAATCATATTGTGTCACAATTAATATAAATTTAGTAATTTTGAGCTTATAAAAAATATATATATAGTTCGTATATAAATGTATTAAATACATGCAGTCAGCATTATATTTCTAACCTTGCAGATTTCGACACTTAAAACTATATATATTTAATTATATACTTTATTAATATTATTATTATTTAATACATTTGTATACTTATTTATTTAAATTTGTTTATATATATATATATTTAGGTATATTGGTTTCGTGCATTCATACTTACTATGAACGTAGAGTGGAAGTACAATAACAAATACAGGCTACTACTTGAACTTTTATTCGAAAGTACTGTCCTTGCACTGCTTGTACTAATTCCAGACCTACGGCAGCCGGTTCAATGAATTCGTGCATTGAGTTCCGCTGCACTACAAAGAACGGTTGCACCAGTTCAGCTGTAAAGAATAAACTTCATACCAGAGCCTGGCAGAAATTGCACATTTCGACTGAATTTTCAATCGGCTACGCCCAAAATATACAATTTCTGCCGGGCTCTGGCCTATGATTCTCGAAAATTTATAAAAAATATCACATAACGATGACTCGGATCTATTTTACGCTGCAAACGCTTTGGAGCGCCGTACAACTAACGATCCTTTGAGCCCTCCGAAACTTTTGCAACATGAAATAGACCGCACCCATCATATTTATCGCGATATTTTTCACATAGTTTCGAGAAATAGGGGCCTCAGCTATATTATTATTATTATCGAAGCATTTATCTGTAAAACAAGCGCGTAATGACACGCACATTTTCACAGTACGCTGAACCGAGTTAGCGTTTCGTAATTAGTGCGATTTGTATTTATTTCCTGCTCGCCGATACTAATTCACGAGCATCACGTTATCTGTCAAAGAAAAATACTATGTAGGAACGGATTTCGATAGCCCACATAGGTGATTAGCTAATTTGATATAAAGTTTTCTAATTGGTGGTCCAGCGGAAAGACTCTAGGCACTGGCCGATGTGAGTGGATGCGTGCTATCGTATTGTGTGCTAATGGGACCCTCCCCTATTTCTGTTTATATCTCCCCGCTAAGTGTATATATACAGAGTGTCCCAAATCAACATAGACTGAAATCAATTTTGATAGAATAAATTTCGTGAGAACGCAGAACGGATCGAGGTGAACAAAAAAGTGTCCTGTACCATTTGACAAACGACACGCAAAATCTCGAGTTATTAATTACTGGAAATGGTCATGTGTGAAGGCTGTTTTAATTAATAACTCAAAGATTTGCGTGTTATTTGCAAAATGGTAGAGGACTTTTTTATTCAGAGTGATTTGACAATTGTATCTAGCGACAGGTTCAAGGTGGAAGTTTAAAATTCAGTGTACAATGTATGTCTTTAAGTACAATAGTTGTCATATACTTGTAGATTAGATTATTTTGTTTTCAAAATTTGTCTCCAAAATTGTAGATCTTTTTGTTCATTTCAATTCGTTCTATGCCCTCACGAAATTTGTCTTTATTGGTCTGAGACATCCTGTGGATATACAGGGTGTCTCATTTTAAATGAGAACCTCAAATATCTTTTGAACAATCCATTTTAAAGAAAAATGTTTCATATAAAAGTTGAGGGATTAAAAAAGATCTATTTACTGGTCTTATCAGTTTGATTTCATTTGACTTTGACGCCTCTACCCAAGATCAAACTGATAAGATCGGTAAATAGATCTTTCTGGACCCTCCAATTTTTACATTTTCCTTTAAATTATTTAGGAGATATTTGAAATCTTTTAAAATTACACCTTATATTAGACACCTAACATATATATAGTTTTTACATAGCCTCGTACATGCAGGAATATATAGAGAAGTTATATTTTAGAAATTTATTATTTATTGTAACATCATTTATACGTGATACGCTATGTTATCCACCAGCCAATAGCCACGACATGCTGTTACGTTTATCGTTTATCGATGATGGAATCAGCCGATATTCTTTAAAAAAAAATATTAAATTAATATAATTTATGAGAGAAAGACGGAGATTCAAATTATAATCAAAAAAACGTACCATGCGCGCGCAGAGGATCACTGATATAAGTTTATTTTTAATATTCCTCCTCCTCCCCCTTCTCTCTTTCTCTCAGATGGTCTGCGTTTCTTTTTTTTTGTTTTTTTATTAACCACGATAGATCGTATTATTTTGCACACTCATTTGCACAAAGGTCTACACGTATTTTTTTTCTGAAGGTATAAGCACATTCAAAATGACTTATAAGTGACGGTAAACGAGGTAAATATTGGCCCTTCGTTGCACTTTTATTTGGTATGTAAGAGTGTAGCGAAAATACATATATTTCTCTTTCTTATGATCTTGTAAAAAGTCGATTGCCGTGCCAGTTCTTATGAGCAGTGATTTGCAATCGTGATCATTTGCGATGTGCTCCTTTATTAGTTTATTAGTTTAATTTCATTGGAAGGAAGTGCGCACAAACCGTCATGCAAACGAGTGTACAAGAGTTAGGCGATACATGCTGAGTTCTTTGCGAATTTGCAACGTCAGCACGCCAGCTATCGCCAAAATTATCACGTCGAAGACAGGTAATGGAGGAACGATCCTTTATCCGCGAAATTATTGCAGCTCGATAAAATAGAAATGCGACGTGCGGCGGAGACTTTGATTCGTTGAAAACGCTGCTCGACAACGCCCACAGTGATTTAAAGTGACACACTGCAGTGTATAGTATAGTTGTTTTTTTAGAAAGAAGAAAATCTTTGAATCCATCTTATATTCTTGTAGGCCATCTTGATTTATAGGACCGCGCATTTCCTTACATCTTGACGCATGCTGCCATTGTCACGGGCGCGAATACGATATTCGACGATGTAATTCATTCGCGTTATTTCACTTGTAACGTCGTTTGAGGGAAGTAGGAAAGTTGAATTTGTGAAAAGTCGATAAAATTTAACACGTTACTACAAGTATGGGAATGAATTGAATACGAAATCCTTTTGGGCTTCTTTATATTGGCTACTTATATTGTATATTGACGATAAAAATATTTAAGAAATTAAAAATAATAAGCATAGAAATTATGATATATTAACATATGAAGAGATCTGCTATTATCCCGCGGTATGTATTGTTATGGTTCTCTTCATACATAATTTACGCAAGAATAAACAAAGACATCAAGAAACTTTTGTTTTCTAATTAAGTACTGCATTTTCCACAGATGTAGCTCAAATTCAATCCAAAAAATGTTATTTATCTAAACTCCATTGCGATAAAAAGCACTTCGTTTCTGCGATGTTTTCATTTTTCTGCTGTCATTTTGTTAATTTGTACTGAATATTTTTTTTAGATTAATCCATAAAGGAAAGCTTCCGAAAGCATAGTTTGTTTCTGTTAAAAATGTCTCGTATCACTACCGTTAGTTGATATTAAAAATGTCAATTTTCGATCGTTCACAATCTCTGCAAAATTACAATACACACCGCCCGGATGGATCGAGTTGCAACAGCTTCATGTGTTAATGTTTCTTTAATTTCTAAAATATATTTATATTACTAATACAATCCACATCATACATTCTACGTACAAAAAGATTTCGTATTAACTCCTGTATCTGTACTGTAACGAGTTAAGGCTCCTGACTACTCAGCCGAGAACTTCGTGTTGACATAGTGGCGACATAGTTTAGAGTGACAAAAGGATAAACTGATAGAATGCGGCCCAGTAAGCGCTACGAATCGGGGGTGTGCGAAGGAGCGTAAAGTATCAATATTTTGTACAAATCGAAATACATATAGTACTGACATATTGATTAGAAATGTATCGATATTAGAGAATATAATTACTTTTTGACACGTCTTTTAGATATTACGTCTTAAGTTAGTTATTACTTTGCTTGTTGAATAATAATAAAATTCTATATATATTAGGTTATTCAGAAAGTCCATTGAAAATTTCGTGCGCCCCGCGTTACTATGGTAATCAGTGAGAGCGAAGGCATTCCAGACGATTTTGTACTTGTGTGCGACAAACCTTCCCGGATCTGTGAGCCTGCCGAGGGAATCTTGCGGGCCTTCCTAGTGTAACCATTTCAGGTAGAAATCAGGTGAAGAGATGGAGAACCAGAAAATGGTAAATCGCTACACCTTAAAACATATATATATATATATATATATATATATATGTTTGTAATCAGCTTGGTGAATATTTTAATCTGATATCAAAATTGGATACAAAATGGACCGGGGGAACATTACTTACGGACGTTTGACCGTATTCTTTTACCGATTCTTTACAATGTCCAAACTTTTTTATCCTTCCTTAATGCCAGGGTAATACAATATCATATTCCAATATCAAGCGCGATATATCCCTTCGTATATTATGCGAATAATTAATCAGGTACATACTTCATGATATTTTTTACTAATTTCTCATAACGACACACGTAGTTTAGTCCGTAAATTAAATTCGAGGACGATATTAGATATAAAAAAAATAATACACGTGGCGACACAAGACGTGGGAGTCGCAACGTTTCGACAGAAACATAAAACAAAACAATGTGTGTGTGTGTGCACATACAATACCGGACTTTTTTCTTAATATAATTGCGCACACAGCTCCGTGATGAAGCAAGGTAGCCGTTACTTCCGAAATAATCCAACTGTGACGAATGAGAAAAAACAAATGTCCACAATCTAAGTAATAGTTGATTAATAATGAGTCAAATATGAATGCGAATAAATTGGTTCGATTCCTCGCGCGCGGACGCCGCTCTAATTTCGCAATCATCTCCTTCGAGAGTCATCGTTACTTTATAAATGCCACGAAGAATATCGATCGCGAGTTAATAACACAAGCTCTCATTGATGCATAGTAATGTGTAGTTAGTAATCTTCTTTTGGAATTGTGTAAACCGCTCGAAAACGAGCACGAGCATCCTCGAGATGATGTTCTCTCAGCAGTATTGCTGCAATTTGTCGAACAATTTGTAGATACACGTTGTACATAGTAAAGTTCCTTTTATACGTTGTTACTTAAGGATAAGGCCGTGTATGTGCGTCAAGGCGATATTTTGATAACGTGAGCATAAAAATCTCAAGCGCTGCATCAGCATCGTGCCACGTCGGATGTCACTTATGAACACGTAATAAACTGCATTATAACGCGGATAATTTTCTAACTGTAAATTTTTCAAACATTTGACATCGCTTCGGAGGAGCAAAAGAGAGAGAGAATGATGAAAAAAGTGAAAAATCCATGATTTAATTACGTAATCATATATATACAGTGGCGATCAAAATAGATTTTTCCCGGATTTGGGTTTAAAGGAAATAAAAAAAAAAAATGATAAACTTTAGTAATAATTTTCTAAATGGAAATCTTCAAGACAATTTCACGTAGCTATACTGCAGTATGTGACGACATGACGCTCGCTAAACGACTCGTCACGAACTAATGTAAGCATTCAAATACAACACTTTCAATATAAACAAATACATCATAAGAGTATTTGGTTATAACTAGGCCCGATAATTTTGACAACACGTAAAATTAACGAACTTCGGGAATAATGAAATAAATATATACGTTCCTTTATTTTAAACCGCATGATTCATTGTTTCGCTCTAAATGCCTTTGCGACAATCGACTCTTCATAACTACTATTTTCTGAATTACGCAAAAAAAAATATTTGGCCGGAAACTTTTGATCGCCGCTTATATACATTTTTTTTTTTGTATTTTTGCGAATTTTGAAAGTTTTATACAATAAAAGGCATTTTCAGAAATGTTCATGTCTCTCTCATTCGCAATGCTGCGATTTCGAGTTCGTGCACGCTAGCGTCTCCCCCCCCCCCGTATGCACATTTATAATTGGTAGAAAAGAAGTTATATAGTTATAGAAGTAATAGAAGTTATCATTATATATTTACGTTCGGCGATGCATTCCACGATCAGGGCCGCAGAAATGAAGGCACGCGAGACGGTTTTTATTAAAAAAATGTATTCTCATTCACATCGTAGACACCACATTGACAATCCGTGCGTTATGGTCTCTAGATCGGTTAACAATATATGTAAATATATAGTTACTACTTACACTAATTACATTATCTTGCGTTATAATTGTTCGTACATAACTGTTCCGTCATCGAGACCGATGATTGCGCGTCTGTGTCACGTTGAAAATGTTTCTTTTTTTTCTTCCTTCAATAGTTCCTCGTATCAGATATATCCTTTTATTCTTGTTTCTCTCTCTAAGTTTTTTTCCTTTCGTTCCTTTCCTTCCGTCTTCTTCTTCCCACTTCCTTTTCTGTTCTTCATTCGATGCGAGAGATACGGTAAATTACTAAGGTTCGCTTAGGTGACTTACGCTTATAAAAAATGGACTGGTCTGGGGATATACGGAGTATCGGCACGCTTTTGAGTAGTTTTTATTTAGCGTGTGCGCTTGTCGCACACGTTCGAATATATTATTATATTTCCGGCTCGCTATGCGCACACGAAAGATGCCCACCCGATGCTCGCCGTTCGCGTGGCGAGCAACGTAAGAAGAACGGTCTCACTCTCTCTCTCTCTCTCTCTCTCACGAGAGAGGAGCGAAAATTCCCGCTCACATCGCGGACCACCGCTGGAACGGAGTTACCACGAAGATAGGGGCGACGACGACAAACCGTTACGAACGTGTAACGGCGATATACACTCCAAGTAAAGACTCCTCGGAATAGTTTACGAGGTGTTCACACGTACGAGAGAAATCATTCCGTTGGTGGTAATTGAATTTTCCGTTGGTCAGGGACCAGATGGAAATCCGGTTGCAAGGACCGAAAAGATTCCTTTGGGAGGTCTCAATCTCCTGAAATTCCTCCGATATCCGAAGGATATTGATTCTCGTCGTCACGGACGTTTTCAGTTCTCTTCACCGACTTCTCATTTGGTTCCTGTCCAGGTGGAACGAAAAATCACGACATCGAAATGACGAGAGAATGACTGCAAGAATAACCTCTCGATCATGATTCGATCACTTCCTCGTCATTTCGACGTCATTTTGATGTTTATTGTGATTCTTTGTTCTATTCAGTTGCAGTTGGAACCGAGTCTTTTTTCGCGCGGGAGAAAAGAGTCGACGACTATTTCAACGTGCGTGATTCGTGCCTGGGACTTTACTGTACACCTTTATATATACTGGGGATTAGCATAATCGATTAATATAAAACTATATTACCGACCGCGCACATATCACTAAGAATTATTACGTTATTTCGTACGTTATCAATGTCGTGTTGTTGTTCCTGTTGTTTTCGTTATTATAGTCATTATTATTATCATTACACACCTCTACGTGAAACTTAAGCGTGTACTCTCGCGAGTCGAGGACGCGCTGCTTTCTATAAAAATAGGTTCAGCCGCGAGGACTGAAGCAACGAAATAATTACAGCGAATTACGGTGCGACACGCGCGTCGCCCGACGAAGCGACAACCGTCTGACTTTCGCAACACGCGTCTCGTATCCAACAGGAAGATGCATCTCCTGAGAATAAACCGAGAGACAAATTCTCCTATTAGATATGGAATCCGTTGCGAAACTCATGAAAAACCAAAAAAAATGTAACAATATTTCTGTCCACCGCAGTACTCGGGCCTACAATGACCTGCTTTCACCGACTTTTCCGTTAAGTTAACCGACGGTTGACCGGCCAATCGCATTGATCAGTTGGCCAGTGCGATTGGTCGTTTAAGCGTCGGTTAGCCGTCGGCTAACTCGACCGGAGTTGGCGAAAGTCATCCTAAAATATCGTGACGTGCACACGTTCGACGTTGCAACGAACGTCTCGTGAGTTGGCATCTTTTCCGTCCGTGTGTACCAGAGTCCTATATAAAGAGAGAAGCGACAACTTCTCCTATTACCGACCCAAGTGCCGCCGTATCTACTCCGTTTTAGCTCCGTATAAGCAGACGATGCGGATTATAAATCATAAATATAGGCGCATCTTATATATAAGACCGTCTTAAGTTGATCTTCAGATGCTGAACAGCTCATTTTATTGACTACCGAAGCATCCGAAAGTGAACTTAAGATGATCTTAAATATAAGATCCGACTGTGAACATCGGGTATATGGAGTGCGATTAACTTGAAGCTACGAACGCTTTAAAATATTCGAATGAAAGCACGTGATTGGTATATTACGGCGCTTGAGAAACATTTGCAACACAAAGTGGGTCCTACCCACAATTAGAGTCCTAAATAATAAGAGAAGACCCGTTTGTGAATGTCTATGCACGATGAAAATCACAAGCAACAGAGAATAACACTAGCAATAGAACAGAGAATAACACTGAGCAATTTCTCACCTATCGGAAATCGTTATGCATTGACACGTGATTTCTGATAGGACAGGTGTAAACTCAATGCCGGTAAGTGTTACGTAACAAAGCTGATAACTATCGTGCCTCCGTCCGCTTCGCCGGGAGCTCAATATGAGGCGGATTCAATGGAGGTGAGGGAACCATCAGTCAGCGATCGCGACGCATCGTTGTCGCTCGTTCTCTTTGCATATAGGATTCTAGTATATATTCCAGTACCCCTCTCGCCAATCTCACCATCACGACATTCACTTCCCCGGTGACTCCACGGAGGAAAGTTCGCTCCGTGCGCGGAACAACCCATGCCGGATTACGGTTCACGAGATGAATTATGGGGGTTTCGATAATCATCGGAAGCCGATCTTACACTCTGATGCGAGCGGCCGGAATTCTCCTGGGAGAAATGGACAATTCACGTGGCACGAGGGAAAACCCTGAAATTGAGCACCACCGGCGTTTCTTTCTTTTTCTTTTTTTTTTTCGAAGAGTCACGGACAACGCGCTGTCACCGGTGAAAAAATACAGTCCAACGGCAACGCGTGCACCACGCCGGCCAGGCAGGTTACCTGTACCAAAAGGGATGAAGGAGAGAGATCTGGCGTTGTCCCACAGTTGAAGAAGGTGATTTGCACGCCCAGTTGGCTCGCGACCAGCGCATCAAGTGAACAGTGCGCACGCACGTGGCAGAGTACCAACGTGGAAAAGCTACGGTATATATATTATATATATCGGCAAATCACACGCAAAGTCGTTTAACGACGTCGCACCGTCGCGACTCCTCGGCGAAGCGGGCGACGAGGGAACATGGCGCCGGGCTCCTCGAGAAAGGTTCCCGTGCAACGACAACAACAACGAGTTGCACCACGTACCGACCACCGGGACGTCGTGACAGGGATGCAAGGAAGACACGGTGTGGGTGATCGTCACTCTACTACAAGCGGCCAGAGTCACACGCTGTCCGGGCTGCTGGTCTCCTGGTCGCAGACTTGCTCGGCCTCGCCGTCGCTCTCGCTCGGTGGACTCGGTGGCTGCTCCAGCTGGTACTGGTTGAAGCCTCGCGGCTGCTGCTCCTGGTGATGATGCAGGAGGTCGTGGTGGTAGTAGCAATGACGCCGGTCATCCACGACTCGTTGCGGCAGCTCGTCGATCGGCATGCCGCGCGCGCACCGTCGCAGCCGGTGGCAGCCCAAGCAGATCAGCACGACCACCAGGACGCTGCCGATCACGTAAGCTAACGGCGCCGTGTAGCTGTCCGCCTGTGGCTTCTCGGCGCCTGCAATTCGCGACGGTCGCCGGTTAAACGGTTTCGCGGTGTGCCTCGATGACGAGTTTCCTAACTTAGCGAGGCTGCGTTGCGCGAGGCGGGTCGACTCGCCGGCCTCTATCGGTACTCCTAGAGCGACACCTCGATACCTTCTCGGGAATAGCTGAATTGCCGAAAAACTGAGAGGAATTCCATGTTAACGAAAAAAGAGAGTTTCGTCGCGAGTTCGGATGGGATGCGAGATCAATTTTGCAATTGGGTAAGTCAATTTTTACCTTTAACTGAGTTAAGTTAAAAGTAATCTGATGAAATATTAATGATAGCTTAATTAAAAGTTAAGTTAAAATTAAATGGCATATTAAAGTGAAAAGAGTTAATAATGCAAAATCGTGTGTGTGTGTGTGTGTGTGTGTGTGTATGTGCAGAGTGTCTCTCAGAACCACAGGGAAATTTCATGAGGACGTAGAATGGATGGAAGTAAATGAAAAGATCCTGTACTATTTTGTAAACAACATGCAAAATTTTGAGTTATTAATTATAGCCATATAGAGGCTACTTTAATTAATAATTTAAAAACTTGCGTGTTCTTTCTGCAAAGTGGTGAAGAACTTTTTGTTCAGAGCGCGCTCACAAACACACACACACACGCACGCACGCACGCGCGCGCGCGCGCACGCACACACAGAGGGTATAAGTTGGACTGAATAACTGTGATATATTTTGGGATTATATTTAACTGCGATATTATTCTAATGCTAATATTGTCGATAGGTTTTTAGAGAAAAGACCTGAAAATGTGTTATTCAGTTCAAATTGTCAGAAAAAAATCGTTGCATAGTGATTAGAAGAACATTTTAAATGGAAAATGTTAAATTTTAAGATGCAATGAAAAAAATTTGATATAAAAATTTGGTTCTCCCCTTCCATCAAGGTTGAATTGTAATTTTCAATTTTGCAAGGTTCATTTTGTATTAGCGTTGTTTGCAATAAAATTTTTGCAGAGTGCTTTGAAGCATTGTCCCACACCTGAAAGCTGAAGATTCACGCTCTACGATGTTTCTTTAAATATCGCTCTACGAGCATTTCTTGCGAAAATATGAGACTTTGAATTTGGTCCTTTTTAGCGCTAATTTTATCCTGATCCTTTCATTTTGTTGAGAAGTGTATATGCTAAATATTTATTTCTACACATTAAATAAAAAAAAAAAATAAAAAAAAGATTGTCACGACACAAGTTGTGAGTGAGTGAGTAAGTGAGAGAGTGAGAGAGAAAGAGTGAGGTTTCTGTTTACTTTCTGTATACGTGATGACTGACTCGTGATGCGCTATTTCTGTCAATAATTTATAAAATAAGCTTCGATCAAAGTCTTGCAAGATAAAAAGTTGTCTCGGAATTTAGTCAAGATTATGTAGTTTCAAAGATGACAAAAAGGTTTGTGAAATTTCGAAAAAAATCGGTTTTCAATTTTTTACATTTTCGGATGACGTGAATCTTTAGAAACATTTTTCAGTTTACTGAATTGGAAAATTCGAAAAATTTAGTTCACGAGAACAGAAAACATGAAAATATGAATGTTTATTACTAATGAGTAAAAAGTCTTTCTTAAGCTTTTCCTGAATGAATGAAAAGTAAATCTCTAATTTTGCAAAAATTTTTAATTGAGAGAAATGATATTCTGTCAGTTTTCTTGTAATTCATCTATTCTCTTAGTACTCAATACCGGTTGATATTCTACCTGAACGGTTTCCTTGATGTAATGAAATATATAATTGGGAGATACACGTTACTCTATGCAATTCCTACGTTTCGTGTTTCGACGTGGTCCGTTGATTTGTATTGCCCGCTAAGCATGTGATTAGAATATTATAATTTAAGAGAAGCCACTCACCAAGCTGTTACTAAATTACGAGTAGCGAACTTGCGAGTCTTCGAAATTACACGATGGATGCCCTCGCTTTATTTGTATAGAATTCTCTATGTAGATCGAGAAAGATATAGGGACTACGAGAAAGAGGCAAATCAGTACAATTCAGAGAGAATACGTCGTAAGAGATTCAGGAGTACAAGTACAGTAGAGAGTAATCGCATGCAGTTAGATAATCAGTAAAGGCATAGATCGAATATAATTGCATTCCCTCTCGGCATGCTTTTCCGGTTTTCTGTGTTGGATGTCGTCTTCTGTGATATCATCAGCCGTAAAAGGTGATGTGTTATTTCCTGTCTGTTTTCTTCGTCCGCGAAACGTTCGTTCGCTCGTCTGATAATAACAGAAGCGCGACGAATCCCTCGAACGTCGGAGTCGCGATGTTAATTTCGCGTCTTACTATTCTCGCTCACACAGTTTTACGTCCAACGTAATATATTTTCACTGTTACTCTTATATGCGATCAAACAATTGACAACTGTTAGGATCGTGATCTCGACAACAATAATATTGCCCGAACTGCGAAGTTCAACAAAGATATGTAATTCTCACGGCACTGCTCGTCGTTTTTTGTTTTCACTCTCGAGCCACCGCATAGTGGGAAAGAAAATATTTGTTTTTCGGAGAAAAATCAGTCGACAATTTCAAATATTTATCTGATTTCGATTATTCTGTTCTTCACTCGTTCATTATAAATGTTTCCATAACATAGACCCGCAAACTATTTAAGATGAAGCTGAAAGTTAAAACGGCAAGAAAAATTCAAAATGACGGATTCGATATATTCAGCTTTGTCTTAAAAAAGTTTGCAGATGTGGAAAAATGTATAACGAGTGAGTGAAGAAAAGAATCATTGCGATCAGTTAAATATTCGACCGCCGATTGACTGTAATTCGAAAAAAGTGCCTTTCATTCTATTGCGCGGAGAGTAATTGTTACTATGCCTAACTAAGAAATGATTCGTCGAATTGATGTCGATGCGCGATATCGAAAATTGATTTGAAATTTCATCGATTTCGATTTATTTCTGTCGCAACTTTTGATGAATTTCCGATGCTCAGAATTTTGCCGTTAAAACTATTCCGGTCAAATAACTAGAGTTAGCGCGTAGAAATCTAAAATTGTTGATGTTATAACGTAATTATTATGCTCAAATCATAAGATCATCTGCACGTTATCCATGCTTTCTAATACAATTTTTTATTTACACTACATTTTTTTTATAACGATTAAAATTATTATATGAACAAAACGGATTGAAATCGTCTCGAAATGATGTAACATCGATGACACAGCAGAAAATATATTATTCGCCGTGTTCAGATGCTTCGCAATGAATATACGTCAAAAATGATCCGTTCCTTTAAAAAAATATCGTATAGAGTAAACTTCGAAACAAATATCAAAACACTTCACATTTCGAGCGATTACTTTCTATTTCGAATTTCGATCGCTCCGATGTCGATTCGCCGTCAATCGTCGATGGTTAATTTCTCGCTCGGATGACTCATGATAGAAAAAAAAAAAACAAGTGACGTCGGAAATTGGAAATGACACGCAAATGCTCATTCCATTCGGGCTGGTTAAGTACGGTAAATGATGTGCAATACTGTGAGTGAACTCACGTGATTGATAGGGGAGATCATAGCATGCCGGATCGTCGGAAGCTTCATGAGGGGGCTCAGATGGCCACGAACACAAAGCACAGAGAGAGAAGAAGCATGGCAGAGGCCCCAGCCAGTGCTGGTGACAATGGGGCTGATGCTGCACCTGCGACACCACACAATCATTCGCCCGCGCAGCCCCACCACTTCTTCGCTTGTACGTTCGTCTACGTTTGCTACTACTTACCTAGGGAAAAATTACAATGCTCGCACGCTTATTACGTGTGTGTGTGTACTCCCCGATTACGAGAGAGATTACGCCTTATCTATTAAAGTTACATAAACCGTCGTGTCTCGCTCGCTCTCGTGTGTGCTCCCGTATTGTCTTGGAAGACGCGACGGTGGCAAGTGTTATCGAATCGCGTTTGTAGCCACGTATCTTAGCCATAGAGACACGTGCCGTTAGAAAGGTCAACAGGCAAATCGCGTGAATTCATTTCCTTGCTCACGTCCTATTGTTACTGTTGTGTCATTGTGATCTGTTATCTTTTGTTGTTGTTCTTTCTCTTGTTTTCCACCCTCTAAATTTCTTGCAAATTGCGGAATCTTATTCAAAACGAATGAAAAGTGGCAGTATTTTTTTTCGCTCGAGGCGATGGTGAAAATACTGCCATTCGAAAGCGCAGGATTGAATGCTTCACCTAAACTTAGGGTGGATTCTGATCCCGTACGAGCGAATGTTTCGATCGATTGGAGGTTCCTGTAACACTGAAGTACAGAAAACTCCGTCAAAACAATCTTATTTCCGTATCAGTAACACTGAAGATTTTTCCAACCAGGCGCATTATTTTGGAAAATTTGCGTATCATGATTACTGCTCTAGAGCATCGTTGTCGATTTATCGAATAATCAACAGTCATGATGCGATGAATATTCGGATATGATGCACCCGATTGGAAATCTTCGATGTCATTGGGAGGGAAATGGGACTGCATTAATGGAGTCTTCAGTGTATTTCTGTCAGTTTCACACTTCAATTTTGCGTGAAAATATTCGTTCGATGACTCAGAGCAGAGAATTCACCCTAAGTGAAATTCGAATTCGAGCGATTCGGTGATCACTCTACTTTTCGAGTAAAATTTTATTCCAAGAAATCTAGAGAGTAAACGAAGCGTCTAATATCCCTCGGTAAAGCGAACGTCGTGATACATGCACCGTGCAGCGTCTATAAATTACACACTTCCCTGAGTTTGTATACTTTGCATACAGTGTGTACCAAAAGTCCGGCGACGGTCGAATATCTCGAAAATAAAGCATTTTATAGAGAAATGTTTTAGACAAAAGTCGCGTGATGAATATATTGGTGTGTTCAACATCGTTAAAAATTTTTGTGCGTTATCAAGGTCAGGTCAAAGTCACGTCAATTTTTCTAAATTGCACCCCCTACTTGTTATTGCAGATTCTGATAGCTGGTGTCAAAAGCTTTCCAGAACACTACTACAAAGTACATTTTCTAGTTAAAGTCTATGCGAGTTATGGTATTTCGAAGATAATTTACCGCCGGCTATCAGAATCTGCAAGAAAAAATAGGGGATGCGATTGAAAAATTGACGTGACCTTAACCTGACCTTGATAACGTACCACAAGGTAAAATTGTTAACAATAAATATATTAATATGTATAATTTGTCCAAAACATTTTTCTATAAAATGCTTTACTTTCGAGGTATTTAATCGTTTGCCGGACTTTTGAGACATACGAGAGAACCGGAAATATTCGAATTCGGGAATTCGGTCTTGCTTAAGTTTGTTGTTCTGTCTTGTGCACGACGCGGAAAGAAGAAATCACATTGCGGAAACGCGCGTTGCTTTGACATATGAGTTATTACGATCTCATCGTTCACGCCTAGCTCTCGACTGAATATCTCCGTACCGTTAATTCACTCCTCGTGCGAACCACGACTTTTGTACTAACAAGATACAAATGTACGATACTGTTAGAGGATCGCCTGAAGGTATTACGATACACAAAGACAACACCTGGAAATCTTTGTAGAATATAGTGTCTATTGAACAATCCAGAGGAGATTACACTGAATATCAGAGTAGAGTATAGTTTACGTAAAGAGAGAAAGAAAGAAAGAAAGAAAGAAAGAAAGAAAGAAAGAGAGAGGGAGAGAGAGGGAAGGAGGAGGAGGAGAGAGAGAGAGAGAGAGAGAGAGAGAGAGAAGTAGAGAAGCAGGAAGAGAGATAATATTAAGTCGTAATGGAAGCAAAGTAAAACACCGAATCACACACCGCTTTCGAAATGCTTGCTCCTGAGAAACACTGCGACTTTAACGTTTGCGAAACTTACAGTTCTCCTCGTCCGACGCATCATCCGGCCCGCAATTATCAATGTTATTGCACCGCAGGGATTCGGCGATGCAGTATTTATTTTTGCTGCACAGAAACTGATCTTGGCAGTCGGTGTTCTTGCTCACTTCGGTCCACACCGCGCGAAAACCTTGCTGTCCTACCGCTTTGTCGGCCGATATGAAGCTGTAACGTACCGTATTTTCACATGTTATACGATAAGAAGAAAATACAATGAAACACCCAGCAGGTGCGTAAATTAATTCGGCGTCTTTATCTTTAATTAATCATAATTTCGTTTTAAATCCAAATGTCTCGAAAGCCGTTATCTTTTTTATCGAAAGAAGATTCATTGGCTGCCCAATATAGATGATAGATATTAGAAGATGATAACAAATATTTCCAAGATTGATATGTTTTTTCGTAAATAAAGGCAAATTTCTTCAAAAAAGGCACTGAATTAATTTACACACACACACACACACAAAATTTTATAACACAATATTGTTATTTTAAATAAAACTAATTTTTTAAATCTATTTCAGTTAGGGGCTAAATTACCACATTTATTTCTTTTCAACCCATTCTGCAGTGCCGCCACATTTTTATAAGTAATGTCCTAAGTAAATATTTCGTAACTTTGGTTCTCGAATCGATCGAGCAATATTTTAACGAATGTAAACCTTCGATTTTCAATTTCAAATATTGATTGCCGACAAAGTTATTATATAATACAAAATGTAAATGGGGAGCCATAATACTATCCTTTCCTCGAGTGCTATAAATCGCCTATAAACGGATTCGTCGCATTCAATTAATTCCTATATCTGTGCTAACGAGTAAAATATTTGCCGACTTTCCGCACAAGTTCAAGTCCTTTCACCCCCTTCATACGTCGTCACGTTTATTAGGTTAATTCTCGCTCATCAAGTGTGATCGCAACGAACCTGAGCCGCATGTTGTTGTCTTCCGACATGAAGCTCCACTTAGCATCGGTCGGCTTCATGCCGCAGAGTTCGCGAGGCGTCGACGTCAACGAGTACCACATGCGTAACACAGCCGCCGGACAACCTCGTGCTGGAAGAACAGACGGGAAAACCGGTAAATTAACGCGCTTCTTAAACGCTCGGTTAATTACGAATTCATTCGTACGAGCGTTACCTGACTGATCGCCCTCCACGGAGAAGAGCTCAAAGTTCAAAAGTATCTGCTGATTTGGCTGCACTTTTATGAACCAGTTGCAAGTCTTGCTGGCGAGGTTCCGCGCCGGCCCTTCGTACTTGTTCGGGAAATTCGGGCTGGTTATGATACCGTAATTTAAACTACTAATATTCGACCCGCAATCTGCGACACAATAAATTCGATGTGGATTAATATCTCTGAGCAGGCCACGACGCGCGGCGGAAATCCGAGCAAATTCTGTGCTGCCATACTACGAGATCAACAGGATTTGCTCGATTTCTGCTGTCAGATAGTCGTACAGAATCTGCTTGGTTCCTGCTATCAATCTGCTGGCATAACATGTCGGCAAGCTCTGTCAGATTTCTGACTTGCCAGCAATTTGGCAACATCGCCGAACAGAACAGATTCTGTGTAAAATTTGTTGTCTTTCTGGTATAAGAAATTTATAATACATTCTGTTCAAAATCTGCCTATACAGGCTTTTAGCTATTTGGATACAGTTTTAAAAAAAGTATGTATTTTCTCATTTGAGAAATAATTCTTTCTTAGTGCAAAAATATATATTAATAATAAGAAAATATGTTATTACCCACCGAATAAATATCGTTTATTCTTTATATTCTTTATATATCTTTTTTCTCTCACGAGGGGAGAACCAGAAATGGGGACGCATTTTTTAAATGCGGTTTGTTGTAAAAGGTCTTTATACCCGTTATCATTTCCATTAGGAATTCCATACACTAGTTTCAGACACCCCTTATTTTTTTTTTACAAAAACATGAACATTTTGAAGTCATCGGATCAATTAACCACTTGGTGGCGTGATAGATTTCAAAGAAAAGAGGAAAGAAGCAAAATACTGTACGACAGCTTGAACGTATCTATTGAATATACTTGCGACTAACTGAAGGTTAAATATAAGATCTGATTATGAATATCGCTCTAAGCTTGAGTAAAACATTCATTCTTACGATTTTTCGTGGAAATATCGCCACTTTTCGCTTATTTTAAATGAGATTTCACTTCAAGAAATGCGGAACACACTTTCAGACCATTTTTTCCTCGCGTTGTTCCGCATTAAAAGAATTAATTCCTTCATTTCATTATTTTGTTTTTTGAAGAGAACTAATGAAAAGCGCGTCCTCCGTACCTCCGAAGATAGGTTTGGCGACCTCAAAGTTGTAACGCGCCTTGAAGCCACTGTAGACTAATTCAGAGTCGGTGTGCAGAATCACCTTCAAGCCGAGCGCGCCGAGATTCGACTCGACCGGGCCCGGCGCAGTCGAGCCGCAGTACCTTCCTATCAGTTTCTCCGTTTTGTCGCGGTACATGTTGTAAATCTCCAACCAGTCGTTCTGACACAGGTCGTATCTGTCAAGCGGAAACAATATCGGCCACACGTTCGACGACACACAGTGGTCCGAGATAGATATTTCTTGACTAAAACTCGCTCTTTTTTCTTTTTCAGTTTTACCCCGAGAAAGAATTGTGTATTTCCTCCCTTAAGGCACTTGAGAATCTTTGCATGCAAATTTCTCGCAAATACTTGGGAAGTGCGTCGTCTGATTTATCTATCAATTAGCAGAAGTTTGATGCAACAACGTATTCCAATTTGAACGAGATCCGCGATGACAAGACTCTTTCCCTTTGTTAGTGTTCTGAACTTCGATCTTTCTGTCCGGATAAATATATTTTAAAATTAAAATCCCGATATTCTCGATATTACATGAATTTAATACCGTTCGGAATTATTTTTAACGTTGCATTATATAAAAAGTAAGCTTCGCTAAGCATATGTTCTACTAGAAAGTAATAAAATTATCTCAACATATACAAGCAAATGTCTAATCATACAGGGTCTCTAGACTGGTCTCTTCTTAAGAAGTATACAAAGAATTATTGTTATCAAGATTCAGAATTTTTACTGATAACTTTTACTCCCGAACTACTTTGCGTCGGTATCCACAAATCGCGGCCTAATCACGACTCACCCGTAATGCCCGCCCGTGACGTTAAGATTCTTCGTCCGCACTTTGAAATGGTCGAAGATCAAGGCGACCTGCTCGTTCGGCGTTGCCAGGTAGAAGAAGTACGTGCAATTCGTGTCGCTGGGATAATTGCTGGGGTAGCGGGGCGAATTGAATTCGCCACGTTTGCGAGACGAGCTGCGGTACGTGAAGGTGCAGCTGCCGTCGGGCGCCGCGGTCCCCGGTATCTTGTACTCCGTCTCGAAGGTGTACCTGCCTCAACACTCGGTGTTACAAAGATACACTCGTGGTGTGATATGTCCGCGGACACTTGTTCGTCCGGTCGCGTCGTAATGGCAAAACGGAATCAGTTTCTCTGGAAATTCGCGCTTACCGCGTTTTCTCACACTCACTTTGCCTTAAAGCCCTGCGCCGGCAGTTCGCCGCTGCTGAATACCATCACGAGCCTCGGTCCGTCGCTAACTACATGGTTCGGATTGCTCTGGTTGCCGCACATCTCGTAATCGAATTTATCGTAGGAATCCGTTGCCTCCTGGCCCTTCAGATACAGCTTCAGGTAGCCGTCGGTGCATGTCGTTCTGGAAACGCGAAAGCCCGGTGAAAACGCGGTCGGGGCGTGTGTGAGACGACAGAACTACCGTTTGCGGGTTTTCGACCGTACAGAAAAAAAGAAGAAGAAGAAGAAGGAGAGAGAGAGAGAGAGAGAGAAATATGAAAAAGACGTGACACTCACTCTCCTTTCGGTATCTGAATCTTGAATTGCTCAAACTCCAGCCGCACGCGCTCGAGATGCTGCGAGTCTTGCATGCCGTAAATAAAATAACGGCAGACGACCTTCGGTATGTAAGGATACGGATAATTCGGGCTAACCACAAATCCCGACGTCTCCTTCTTGCTGAGGATCTTCTGGTCGCACTCGGATCCGCGGATGTGTTCGCCTTGGTAATTTGTTATGAAGTCTGCGAAGGGAACGAGAACATAAGGGCGAGCGATACAGGCGGAAGCTTAAGGGGGTGATTCTCGTTAGAAACGTTCAGTTTGATAGGTGATTTTTAGGAATTCAGTAGTGACGAAGTTACAAATAATTTTGCCAGCGCCAAACACGAGAAGTTTGTGATCACGATTCCGACGACGTGGTAGAAAGATTATTAAATTATAAAATCTATTATCTCTATTACATACGATGAAATCGATACTTTTAATATTTCGATTTTTCCAGGAATTTTCAAAGCTGAAAAAGAACTGGCCAAAAATGGATTTGTCTCCATCAAATCGTGCCATTTTGTAAAAAAAAAATATAAATTTCTATTCTCCATCGTGGTAAGAACGACAATCACGAGTTTATGATTTCTTAATAATTTTAATAATTTCTTCACCGTTTTAGTTTCAGAAGCCTAATGTGCAGCGCTGCTAGGTGGACAATGTCCGGAATCGTGGCAACAACCGTGCGGACAAAATTTCCGTTCAGCGCCGCACAAAATCATTTATAACTTTATTAATACCGAATATTCTTCAAAGTCAAGCGGAATGGATTAAATTGGCACGGTTGTCTCACCCAGGCTGACGAAACCCTCGGAGAATTCGAAGATGCCCTTGAATCCGCGATTTTGTGTGTTCGCGGTGCGCTTCAAGGTGACGAACGCCACATACAAGCTGGATTCCGAGGAGTAGAGCACCAAGTTCCGCTGTTGGCCGCAATATGTGCCGATCACGGCCGTCGAATTGTCAATACCGTCGTGCACTTTCACGTAATCCAAAGGGCAACTGCGAATCGTGAACGAAATCTTCGCTTTAGGAAAGATCAAATCAAAGATCTTTACACCGAGAAAAACATTTACGAATTATTAACAAGAGTGTTTTTCTTTTTAATATTCAAAATAAATAACGAATCGTTAGCTTAGTAGTAATAAATTTCTGTAAGGGCGATAAATTAAGTTAAAGAGGAAAAAAACCACATCGAAAATTGAAGTGACTCGGGGTCGGTCTGACCCCGTCTGGCTTTTCCAGGATTGATCGGTCGGAGAAATTGGCAACTTGATTTCTGAGGGAATTTTACTTTCGAGAGACCGAGATCCTCTTATTTCGGCCGTTCAAATCACCATTTGTCAAAGACTTCGTAGTACACAGATCGTTCATACGTACTGCGGCCCGCCGAAAAACAAGTCGAAGTCGCGAAACTCCAGCCGCACGCGTTGCCCGGACTTCCCGATGAACTGATAGCTACAAAAAAGATCTTTCGGATAGCTGCCGGGATAAGTTGGCGACAGTATGTTGCCGGTGCCTTTCGCTAGTGCACTTATCGTGAAGGAGCACGGTGTACTCGGTGCCGGCGTGCCCACCTCGTATTCGGCTGCGAACGTTACGTGAAATTCATTAAAACTTACACCGGCGACCCATCTCGGGATAAATAACTTTGCACAAGTGGCGAGCGAAGGGCTCCGTGCCGCGGAGAGAAACGGACCGAACATCGAAGATTTATCAATTCCGAGACGAGCCACTGCGACCGCGTCCAGTCGTGTACGGAAAATTTAGACGTGTACAAAAACGTCCGAATCTCCTTTTCATTAATCCTTTTTCATGAATATTTCACTACTGGCCGAGGTTCCTGATGTTAATGGAACAAGCGTTCGGCGCTCTCTCCCTCTCTCTCTCTCTCTTTTTCTCCCCCTCCCCCTCTTTTTTGTTCTCCTTTCTAGTTAGAGGAGATACAATACGCTCGAAAAACACCGAAAATCGGCCTATTTTCCAACAATTGATATTCAAAGCTAGACGAAGTAAAATGTTTGCAACCTTGAGAAATGACTCTTTATTGTTCTGCTGTGTAAATGGTACAGGAGAGAGTAGTAGTTTGAGAGAAACTGTTTCTTTCTCTTTCTCAAACGTCTAAAAAATTCGATTAAACCAATTAATTAAAATTCACTTGATTTGGCTTTGGGTTATCACTGTTTAAGGACATACCGATTTTTCGGATACTTTAAGAGTCCTGTTCCCTCCCCCCCCCCCTCCATCGGTCGTCGCCGGATTGCAAATCAATTCGATGTCATCGCTCTTTCTCCTCCGAGGTACGAGAGAGAGGAAGCAAATATTCGTCGTTAAGAAGACTGATCGAGACATGACACTTACAGGCGTTGATAAATTTGTAAATACCGCTGAAAATGCTCGGTACCGTCATATTCTTGTCGGTGAAAAAACTGAGGGCGATTCCCTGATAGAGGGAGACCCGTCTGCGAGGTGGAATCGGCCCGCAAAACCGACCACCGAACGGCGTTTCTATCAGCTTAGTCGTATTCTCCGATCGTATTTCCGAGTATATATCCATGTACTCGTGAACACAGCTGAAACGAAAAGTTATGTCGGCGCAATTGTCACACGGCGTGTTCACATGTTGTCGTCTCTCTCTCTCTCTCTCTCTCTTTTTTTCATGCGCCACGTCGACATTTCATCAGGGTAAGTACACGTTCTTAATAATTAATCTTAAACACACAGGCTCTTACGAGAGTCTTTTTTAGCGGACACTTACGCAGGTAATTCTCCCACAGCGGATCCACTACAGGCCGGCGAAATTGTGCGTGTAAACAAAATATATATGTATAATATATACGTTTAGACATGTAAATATTTCATAATTAGACCGATCGCTTCTTACATGCATCGGTTATCGAGCGTGACAATCCAACGTTGGAATTCGCATAGCCCGCATATTTATACCTCTCTGTTCGGATGATCATTATTATAACTCACACCAATTGAGAAGTGATTGTGAGAAAATTGCGCATTATAACAGAAAAAAGTGAGACGACAAAAGCCAAGTCGAAATTTTCAGACGCTACTTTGACGCTTTTACCAACAATTCGCGTCTACTTTAAATGGCTCATAAATTAGTGAAGATCTATTTCGACGATGATACTATTCTTGTTAACTTCTCCCTTTTTCTCTATTGAATCTCTAATTCTACACATTTAACTTTAAGCTAATTTTATTTAACTTTTAGCTACCTTGAAGTTATCAATGTTCTCGATATTTCGGTTATCAAATTCACATGGATATTCAAAACAAATTATTTTGACACTTGAAACGACGAAAACGGAAATTTAAGACATCGTCACGGTCAAGGTGGAAGTAAATTATATCATTAGAATTGAATTTATCTCGTGCTATCTTAGTTGTAGCATCTTTGTGTTGTAGGATTAAAGATTTAACAAAGGTCCAGAATTTCGACTCGTAAAAGATGTGGCCCTTTCGCATTACGAGCAAACGAAAGAATGATAATATTCACGATATCAAGATATTCGAGATTTCCCATCGGGATATCAGAAATTTATTTCCCCCCGTTATTCGTCCGGAATTCCGCGTCGATCGACACGGAATGAAAAATAATCGAGATCATGCAACGATCGACTGAACGCGTCGGACATCTCGGTGTCTATTATCGGCCACGGAAAGAATGGCAAGGGAATGTGTTATCAGACCATGGGCGATAATAGCCGTCGCGAGTTGCGACGCGTCAAGTACGATTGGGAGGGGGGTAATGGAAGTGAAAAACGACGACGGGGTGATGATTGAATGCCGGTAAAACTCACTCTGGTGGCTTTCCCCGAAGGCCGAACGACGTGAAAACCAATTCGACACGCTGACGCGGCCCTGCGAGGAACGTGTAAACGCACTGTCGAGGATTCCCTTCGGGGTTGGTCAACGTCGGTGCATGAAAAGTTCCATTCAGCGGCCCGTCAGGAGTGCTAACGAACTTTTGGTCGCACTCTGTGAAACGAGAGACAAGGTCGCGGGACTCGCGTGAATTGATAGGTCGTGGCCGCGCGAGGACCGAAATCGACCGTAATTTTCGGTTAGTTCAATCTTCCGGTATCGTCCGCACGCGAACGAGTATGACATTTTCATTTTTATTGCCCCCTTTTCCACACACACACACACACGCACACACACACGCACACGCGCGCGCGTTATTTTTATCTTCTCTCGTACAAAGGAGCGTACCGCGTGGGACGAACGTCCACTCCTGACATTTCTGGGGCAAAACCTTTTTTTCCAGACGCGCGATCGATCGATTTTACATTCATTATGATGAGTACGCAATCTTTGAAATTGTGCGGCTACGGAGGGACGCAGGAGAAGATATATATATATATATATATATATTTGTATGTGTGTATGTATATAGATTTTGTGTGCGTGTGTGTATATTGCGCGCTATATACATATATAGGCGCTATATACATATATAGGTGCTACATACGCGGGAATCTCTGAACCGACCGGAATTACGTCGGTTTCGGTCTGCAGCGCACGCCGATAATTCGGCAGCTAATAATTCTATCGAGCTGCGCGAAGTCAGCCGGGCATAAGTGAAAAAAATGAAGTAAAACGAGTAGAGAAAGTGTAGAGAAACGTACTTGGTGTTCTGGCAGTGGTGAGGCCTCCCGGTGGTGGTGGCGGCAGTGATGGAACGTAGTCTTGTTGTGGCAGTGGCGCGTCAATTACCTCGTGGGCTGAATTGGGGGTAGGGAGGGAGAGGGGACGGTGTGGCGATTCAAAGTAGCCCCCGACCGACAACATCCACCGCCACCGGGAAAACACCACACCGTATTAATTCGACGATAATCATGATAATACCGAGGCTGATAACAATGTGACGTATGTCGAGGTCGAGTGAAAACGAGCGAGTCCCTCTCTCTTTCTCTCTCCTCTCTTTCCCTCTTCACGCTTTCCAGTTCCGCGTTTCCGCGAAAGAACAATAATCCGAAATACGCTCGCTATCTCTCTCTTTTCCTTTCTCCAAGCTGTCCGAAGATGTAGTTTACGCTCGAACTCTCGTGTATAACAATTATATCGCGTCGCGTCGGTGGATGAAAAATCCGGCTGAAGTTTCAAGTGAAAATTTGACAGAGAGAGAGAGAGAGAGAGAAGGAGAAGGAGAAGAAGGGGGGACGCCGCCCCGTATGCTTCGTCACATTATTATTGTTCAACGTTGCGTCGTTATTGTCGAGGGAAAAATTATCGAGACCCGCCACCTCGGGATAAACATGCAAGATTAATAATCACTGCTTGCGCGATCAAAGTCGCGCGAGATGCAGCAACACACGTCTTTCGTGGATTCCCTCGAGCCCTCTCGGAGTTATTTTGAGCGCTGAAAGTGACACCGAGCGTGATCCCGCGGGTGCATAGTCGGATAACTTTCAATTCAAATTCTCCGCGTAGGAAACAGCGAACGTTTCGTGCTGGTTGATCTCTTCGGACGAACGGATCCTTGTCGATCCTCGTGTTTGACCGTACCTCGCGCGATTCGATCGCGACTCGATCGTGAAAACGATCGCGTGAGAGGGAAAAAGAAGGAAAAAAAAGTGCAGCTTAATTACAACACGCTTCGAAGCAGTTCTTACTGACCTGTGGAGCTGTGTGGACAGAGTAGCAAGAGTAACACGAGGGCTGACGAAAGAAAACTACTCCCAGAGACATGCCAGAGTACTGAAGCCATACTGTATCCTGAGAATAATCATTCATATATCTCGTATACGTCAGCGACCATACATATACACACACACACACACGCACACACACGGAGTCGTACTGATTTTTTTTTATTCTCTTTTCAAGTGTCTTTACCATATCGTCAGTGTCTGTTCCGGGCGCAGGAAAAGCGAGGAAAATCGATCCGGAAGATCATCTGCAATATACGGGATTTACTTGTTATTATTATTCGTCGCAATCGTTGACTTTGTGTTGTATGGTTAGGTAAATAAGCGAGTATGTCTCGTCACACGTCATCTCGAGAAGACGATCGTCGGGTGGTTCGAGGTGGTAGTTTTCCAGTTTACGCTCGATAATTACAGCGCAACACGCGGTGTGTGGTCAGTTTTTAAAAGATTGCAAGACTTTTTTTTATTAGTTTCTATTTTTATAAGTTTCAGACCGCATCTCATGTCCGGTAGGAAAATTTGTTCCTTTCCTCGCGGAGATGGATGGAAAACAGAAGTGCACAGAGGAAAGGTGAATTGACGTGAGAAAAATTGATCGCTCGCATTTTCCTCATAAGGATCTCCGCCACTGTCATAAGGGAAATGCCAAAACGATCTCAGAAGAGCAACTACGCCATATTAACACAAGAGTTGCAATGCGCGAGGCGGCAGAATTTTCGAACATTTATCGTAATTCGTAAAAGTTGTGGCAATTATTTATGTTTCGTTAGTCAATAATAATAATAACAAGTTACTTATCAATTTCGTCTTTGGTTAAGAAAGAAAGACTTTATTACACGTAAAAATGATGATTTGTTTACCGCTTATTGTCACACAGAAATAAATAATTTTCCGTAAAAGTTCTTAGTATACGAATATGTTTTATACTCACTGTATTTCGGGCCGGGCGAATCGCATTTGATCAATTAATACCAATGTTGCCATCGATCGCAGGAAAAATTAATCATGCGATACCTGCCACACGCCCGAGTCCGCTTTCGTTCGGACACGAGCGAGCGCGCTTGAAAAATAAAAGCGATCTGACTCGCGCGATCGCATCGAGTGATTTCACACTGAATTAACGAAATATCGATATGCGACGACGACGACGACGACGAGAGCGCATCGAACGATCCTTCCACGGCTGCGTGAGCGCGAAAAGTGTTTCCCAGTGACAGCCGTGGAAGTGAGTAATAATTCGACGATGAATCCGAGCATTTCTCGTTCCTTCTTCTCGCTTCGAAAGGGAAACTCGAGTCGAAAATTATTATCGGCGAAACGCAAGCGCACCAATCGACCGTACAACGAAAAAGATTACCGGATGGTTTCTTATCGCGTGCTGTTATCAGCTGTCATATTGTTTTTATACCTGAAAGTTGCTATAAATTGTCTAAAGCGTTCGCTCTCCGCAACTAAATCACAGTTTCTCCGATCCATTTTCGCACGAGGTAAGCAACAATCAAAATTCTACTTTTTATTATACCGTACCGTTATTTACATTATTAAACGTGATCGTTACTTACCACTTAATAAGAAAAAAATAATAAAGAAACGGATACAGTATAAGTCCAGTCTAAATTCGCGAATCGTATCGCTGACGAAAAAACCGAACGACGGCGAGACTCGTCAATGCTCGTTGAATTTTTATCCCCTTTTTTTCCAACGAGCCAGAGCCCGCCCCTTGTCCCCGCGCGCGCCCGAGTCTCGGCAAACGGGAGCAATCGACAGGAGGAGAAGCGAGGCGCGTGTAGAACGCGGCACGGACGGCTAGAAAGTAGAACAGGAGGTATTATAGGATCAGAACCGCACCCATGCGCTCTCAGAAAAGGATAGCAAGATGGTCAATAGCGGTGTTACCGACCGTTTAAACGCCGGCTTTTCTTCGACGTGGATCGTGCAAAACGACGAACGGCACGAACGTCCACGGGTATTCAGCGGGTATACATGCCGGGACATCCCTGACCTGCCTGAACGCTCACCGAGCGTCCGTCCGAATTTCCCCGGCGGCTCTTTAATGTCGCCGCCGCACGCGTGTACGAAAACTCGATTGTCACTGATGAAATCGTGTGTAATGTTGAATCCGTTATGGTTCTCCGGCGAGAATGAACAAAGGTGGTGCAACGAACCACTGTTTAGCTGCAATCGTAACCTGTCGTTGGTCGTCTTTTGCGTCTCGATGTTTTTCGGAAAAAATAGGAATGTCGAAGGGTATCCTAATGTGAGAGAATCTAATTGATAAATCCGTGCCGTTGGAAAGTTTCTCTTATCATTAACTATCTTATCATTAACTTATCATCAATTTATCTTATCATTAACTATCATTAACTATACATATATCATATCAGGAATTTTCTCTTCGTACTCCTGTTATTCGACTACTTAACATTCGTAATCGTCAGGATTTGAGTGTCTCATGGGTCGAAATCGACCCGCATAGTAAAAAAAATGCGAAACATTTACAACGGCACTGCCACAATCGTAGGGACGTGGTGAAAGAGTTCGAAATCGCCCGTTCGAGGATCACAAAGATGACTCGTGTAATTACGAGTGCGTTAATTCACTCGGTTGCACGATTGTTAAATTCAACGACGAATAATAAGGTCATGTGATCCTTGATTGAGGTTGACGGGACGATTGGCGATCTGAATCAACTAGCGATATCGCGAGAGCCCCGAGAGCGTCATCGAAAAAATCACGCCGAGGGTGATTTCGGATTTGTCACGAGCGGAGAGGGCGCGGAGATACAAAAATCTGCGGGGGGAAAAAAAGGGAGAAAAAGCAAACCTCGAATATAAAACATAGGCAGAAATAATTCACAATTGAGAGCGTGTGTAAAAAAAAAAAAAAGAAGGAAATTCAGGGTAATTCCGAGATCGAAATTCGGAAAATGGACGAGCCATCGCGTGCGAGCTGGCCGAACTGATCGCACACGCGCGTCTCGATGAAACGATTGATTCGCGTATCAATCGCCGCGCGTTTCCGCGAGATTTCCGGCGATTACGGGCCGCATTAATGTCGCGCACTCTCAGCACCGACTCAATCCGTCAACGTCGTATTTATCGGCAACAGCACCGTATTCATCGGCGCATTCACGTGCGCGCGTGCGAGGACATAATTCATTCACGACTCGCTCGTTTGGAAAAATAACGGTTCGCACGCTGCTGTCATTGAAGAACCGGCTACATCGGAAATAGTGCGAAGCAGGGAATTTGAGAATTTTTTTTTCAATTGAACAAAGCACAACACCGGGAGTAAGCGAGACGGATCATTCCAACGTGGTCTACAATGAGCAGCGGGAATATTTTTGTAAAAAATAAGAACAAGAAATGAACCAATCGTAGTCGATTGTTTTTCATACACTCGAATACGATTGTTACTTATTTCTTATTCTTACTTTTCACGAACGCACCCCTGTTCATATCGCAGACTACGCTTCCCATTTTATACTCCTTACCGTCTTACTACCACACAGCCGATCCCTTACTCCTTGTTTATTATTGCTTATAGTAGTGAAATCTCACTCATCCCTCTGTAAGGGTCGCCGATGCGCCTAACGACAGGACAAGCCGACAAATCGCACGGTGAAAACTATTACACCCGACGCACCGCGACGAAGGCGAGGGAAGGGAGGAACGAAACGGAAAGAGACGTCGATGAGAAAAAAGGAAATAGAACGATCTCATGGGTCCCTCCTGCGGATAGAGTCGCCCTCCGTTAAATCTCACGGGTGTGAAATATTTCAAAACAGGGGATCTAAGTAGAATAATAAAAATGAATCTAGAAGAATCAAGATATATAGGATGGATGGACAGAGGAAGAGAGGGGGAGAGAGAAGAGAGGGAGATGCATCGTTTTTCAAAAAGATAGACGAAAAAACTTCTCCCCGAAGTTCGAAAAGCACAAAAGCACTATCCCGGTATGTCGAGTTAACTACGGGATCGCGATTATTCCCGCGAGAAGAATAATCCTGCCACTCCCTCCGGGGATCGGCGAAATCACTGGCATAGAGAATCATCGGCTCATATCTCGGCTCGATCCGACGTCCCTGCGTGAAACAGAGGAAGGCCTTCCTTCGGAGAAAAACACTTACCCCCTGTCGCACCCAAGTCGCAGAGGCTACATCGCGCGATGCGCCTCTCCCCCTCTTCCTCCAGCGTCCCGAGGCACTGTAACTCCCGCGGGTACATACGACACCTTACACGCTCTCTCGACTCACCCTCGACACGCCTACCGTGGTAGTCGCGCGACGTGTGACGAATATCGGCGACTAATCACGCGGTGACAAACGGCGGCCCTGCGTGCGAATCGAATGAGCAACGACGACGACGCGTGATTCTCGCGCGAGGCCCTGTTCGCGACGATCCACATCGTCGTCGTCGTCGTCGATCTTTCGATATTTCGAGAGGTTCCTCTCCTCGACCACGGGGGCGGAAGAGGACGTACCATGGCTGCGCTCGATTCGGGCGCTCACACGCCAAGCGTCACCCCACCTTCATTGGCCATTGCATACGGGAGAGATAGAACGAGCCGAAAGCGAACGCAGCCTGTAGCAGCCGCGATACGTACACACGCGCGCACACTCCTCACACGCATGCTACTACTCTTCCGACGAGAAAATCTCGCGGACTCCTCGGAGAGCATGAGGACCACCTCTCGGCAGGCCCGGTCGCGCGGTGCTCGTCGTCACGAAAGCGCGTGTAACTTTTCTTGCGTATCCGCGGCTTCGATCTACGACTTAGCGTATCTCGAGGCCCCTCACGGCGTTATTTACCCTGCCGATGCGAAGTCACGATGTTTGCGTCGTCAACCGGAGATCAGCGGGCGGCGCGTCACGCACGTTCACATCTGTACTCATCGGGCGTCATCGTAACTAGAGCATCGCGCGTACACGCGCACTCTCCGCCGCCACCCTCTCGGCAGCCGATTCGCGCCCTCGTCGCTTCTGCCGATGTCGCTCCTTGCCTCGGGTGATGTTGATTCTTCTTTCGTCGTCGCCGCGACCACACCACACCATCACTGGAGAACGTCACGAGGAGAAGACGGAAGAACGGCAGAACATTAGAACGCAGACCGCGCGCGCGACTCGCCCCTCCGCGATGAGAGTGACTCCGCCGCCGCCAACACGCCCTGATGTCGGCGACAGAGGCCGCCAAAAACCGCGGAAGGGTAGTTGCGCGCGATCGAGCCCACGAGAAAGGGAGAGAGGGTGGGAATCGCCGGACCGAGAATTCCTGCGCCCCTCCGCAGTCTTTGCGTTTTTCTCCTCTCTCGTCGCCCTCTTCGGGATTCTCCGAGGAGGAGATGTGTCGTGCGGGCTCGGGCCAAGAGTTACGGCCCTGCTCACCGGGGGTTTGAATTTCGCGCCTCTGTGAGAATCGATGTATCGATGTACACCCGATGAGATATCCGAAATCGAGTGGATTTCTCAGCAAGTCGAACGGTTGTTTCTCGCTCACTTTGTTGTGCGCGAATTGTTTCTTACGATTAGAAAAGTAAGTTAGAAAATCTTTCTGAAATTCATAATAATAAAGGGTTAGAGAGAATATGTGTCTCGTTTCTGTACCTTCTCATTTGCAGGCATTTATCTGAAATATTTCCAAAAGTTTAATTGCTTAAAACAAAGACTTTGACTATGCGTAAGTTAAAACTTTGCTCTGATAACGTAAAAGAAAATTGATCGGATAAGAATATAATAATACTGAAACACATCTTTTCAATATTCGATATAGATTTCTAGTGAAGTAAACAAAATGCAAAATTGTGTGAATGTATATACAGGGTGTTCAGTTGCGAGGAAACCGACAAACTTCCAGAATATGATCTAGAGGACATTCTAAACAAAAAAGTTCAGTTAATAAAAGAATTATGCTCATCAACGAAAATTAAAATTTTCATATTTCAACGACTGAATCGAATTAACTTATGTAGTATATCTGAACCTTTTTGCTTAGAATGACCACATTTCGGAGGTTTGTCGCGGTACATCATCTTGTATCTACCTAAGGATGTATGTAATAATATGAATAAAATAATAAACTAAAAGAAAGTATCAGAAGAGGAGACACACGGGAAGGCATAGATCGCGAAATAAAGTGCAGCGCAAGTTTAAGAAAGGTAATTCACATACAACTGTTTATTGAGACATGTAGAATACATCTGGTCATACACAAAAATCTTTGACACTTTAAATCAAGCTCCTAGCCCGAAAAAAAGGAACCATGTTATAACATTCGTTTTAAATTCATCATTATAATCATTATGTTTAACTACGTTTCACACTAAAATTAGGGGCAACTTGGAGAAAAAAATTGCGGGAATTAAAAAGCAAAGCGTAGATTGATAGAAGAGGTGAATAATAATGAATCTGATAAAACGCAAAATTACAATTACAGCAATGATATAAAGAATTTGGCGGTGATAATTTTGCACGTTTGTTTAGCCGCGGAGCTGACACGTAGCGCAAAAAAAAAATATGTAATATAACATATACATTGTGTTATTTGTTTTCATTCGTTTTTCTTTCTTTCTTTCTTTCTTTCTTTCTTTCTCGGGGAGATTAGGGGCGGTTGCTTCATCAATTGAGTGTTCCATTTACCATCATATGATTTCCATTTCTCTCTCTCTCTCTCTCTCTCTCTCTCTCTCTCTCTCGTTAATTAGTGCTAAATAACATCACGTCACAAAAATGCATATTCGCAGAGGGGGGAATATAATATATATATTTATATATATATAATTAAAAAAACACGTGGTTCGCGGGCCGCGTAACTAACGTTAAAAATTGTTCGGCCCATTTGGATCACACAACATCCGCCTGACACGTGAGAGGGGCCAACCGCGTGATGGAGCCCCGAATGAGTGATTTTACGTTTCTCTCTCTCTCTCTCTCTCTCTCTCTCTCTCTCTCTCTCTCTCTCTCTCTCTATCTATCTATCTCTCCTTCTCTCTTTTTTCTCTTCCGAAGAAAGGACGTGTGCCGCGAAATTATTTTAATATCGGGGCGTTGGCCGGGCAAAAAAAGAAAGGCGCGCGCGCGCGGCTACGGCATCGCCAGCCACAGTGTGGGTGCATTATCCTAAAATGCGACCGATAACCCCTTCCCCCCTCTTTCAGGCACCCCATCTGCCACAACACCGGTTATCAGAGTATAAAAGGGGAGAGGGGAGCGGCGGAAGCGGGACGGATAGGGGAAGAGGGGGAGAGAGAGAGAGATAGATAGATAGATAGATAGAAAGGAAGTGGGCGGGTGGGCGGTTGGAGAGAGAGGAGGGTGCTAGGAGTGAGGAAGGGGGCGAGTGATACTTTTGGGGCGCCTTCATAGTCGGGGCAGGGTCGGTGGTATCGATAAACGCTAGTACCTAGATCAGTCTAAGAGTCTCGTCACCGTGAACTGTCTCCGCTTTAGCCAAGTTATGCTTCCTTGCCCCCGCAAGCCGAACTCGCTTTTCTTATGATTTTTTCTTATTTCTTCTTTTATCATATATTCTCTGCACCTATGTACGAGTGTGTGTGTGTCTGTTTGTGTGTATACATATAATGCATTATATAACATTATCTTCTTGCTTTTTCCTCTTTTTTTCCTTTTTATTTAGTCTTTTCTCTATCATGCTCTTATTTCATTTTTTTTTAATTACAATTTTGCACGGAGAAAACCAGAATTTCATCTTTTTTTTATTATTAGAATATTATCATGTCACAAAAACCCACTCAATTATGATTAGCAATATCATCCTTATCATATTGTTAATATTAATATTATTATATCCTCGATATTATGCTTTTATAAATAGGGTGTGTAGGTAAGTAGAGAATAGGTAGGTAGGTAGGTAGGTGGGTGGGTAGGTAGGTAGGTAGGTAGGTAGGTAGGTAGGTAAGTAAGTAGGTAGGTAGGTATAAAATATGGTAAGCGAATAATGAGTAAAAAGGGGAGTGGGGGGAAGGGGGTACGAGAGGAATGAAAGGTAAGAAGATAGCTAACGCAAACCGCGCTTTTTCGATTCGCCAGGCGAATTTTCCCGTCTTCCTTCCTTCTTTTCTCGCTTTTCAAAACAATGATCTCGCGACTGGGAAACAGGACGTTATAATAATCGGGGATTATTCTTCTTATGATTTTCTTTTTCTCCTTTTCTCGTGATCGTTACTACTAGTTGCAGCTCTACACCAGCGCTACCAGTAAAAACAGTATCCATGACGAAGAAAAATTAGACTTAAGTAAAACATGAATAAAAATTATAACAAAATGCTCATAAATACGAGGTTGGGGGGCGAACAATCGATCGTCATCCAGACATATTGTCCGTGGTGCGTCTATCGTTTCGTTATTTCCATTCGTATGTACGTTTTTGTGTGTGGGTGTATCTGTATTTAAAATCATACGGTAGTTTTATATTACGATGGGATGTATGTATGATCTTTTGTATCTCTCCGGGTGGTCTGATAAATCGTTCATCGTAGAATCACACGTGATACCGTAAAATACACACATATCCGTCGATCCTATATACTGTATCGAATCTGATCCGGGGCCGATATACAATTGTTATGCGGTTGTCGTCTCGTTTGGTGTACAATAAACAGGAGTTTGATATGCAGCCATTCCGTTTACAATATTCTATTTCTTTCTTATTTTTTTTCTCATCGTCTTTACGTCGTTTGCCTTCATATTCCGGGGGTGCGTGTAAAATACAAATGTTTGCGTATGTTTTTTTTTTCCATTTTTTTCATCCCTTTTTTTCAAATAATCTCCAGAACAGGGGGGTGTCTGGGCTCCAGGGACAGGGACCAACTACAGCCCGCACTTACAACTCTTACTAATTAACTAACAGGCTAACAATAACAACAAGTCAACACTCAAAATGTGTGCTGTATGTGTTCATGCATTTGTAAACATTTGCGTACATTTTACATCCTACTTCAATCCGTGACTATCATTATCAAATTCGTAGTCAGTCATCTTTAAAAACTTTTCTCCCTCTCTTTTGTGTACTTGCAAAAGAATACGAGAAACAAATTTACTTTTTACATAAAATTTAGAAAAAACAATATTCTTTTCCTCTCTCTCTCTCTCTCTCTCTCTCTCTCTCTTTCTCTCTTTCTCTCTCTCTAATCCTTTAATTTGTCAATCATAAAAAAGAAACACGTCAACAAATAAATATAATACGATTTAGATCCGAGTTTGCCCTGCTACTTGGATACTGTCATTGAAAAATTTACTGTACAAGTGGATTTCTTCACGATCGTGAGCAATACTTATTTTTTCCCACCTTTTTCACCTTTTTCTTATCCAATAGTTCCCTCGATACCATGACCGTAACCGAACTAGTCTGGGAGACACCCGCAGAGCCATTGGCTTGCCTGCAACGTTTCACTTTCTTACTTTCGCAAAACTTGCCTGACCCTTAATAATAATAGTTTCACTGACTGTACACGTTTATAGACCAACAATAGAAGGTCTAGCGGCGCTTGGAGCGCTCCACGCACACATACACACACAGACACATTCCGCTTAAGGACAATCTCTCTCTCTCTCTCTCTCTCTCTCTCTCTCTCTCTCTCTCTCTCTCTCGCTCTCTCCCCCTCTCTCTCTCTCTTTCTCTTCCTCCCTCGTTCTCTGCCTCTCGCAACTATGATCTCTTTGACGGTCATCCTTCTCGCATGCTTACCATATTCGCATTCTCGCCCTTGCCATCTGCTTGCCTATGCGCACACCTATATCACACACACTTATTCCAAGTTGATCTTTCCTGTCTCTCACTTCGACACGTTTCTCTCCTATTTCATCTATCTATCTCCGTTATATGACCTTTCCATTTCCCCTCCCCCCCCCCACACTACTTTGCCCCTCAGCCTATCTAACACACACGCTTCGTCACTTAGATTCAAAAAATCTAATCATCGCATAATAAACCGCAGGCTTCCATGAGTTCTCTTAATTAATACAAGCCATCACAATCCCTATGTCAACATCGCTGATCTTCATCACTTGGCAGTAAACAATGTGACAATGCAGTAGTGGTTACTTAGATTAGTATTATCATAATATAATAATAATAGTACGCGGGGTGGGTGGGTGGTCACACTCCGATGTAATAATTAGTCTCAGTGGCACATCACTGTACATAATCACAACAACAGCGGACGATGGTGGTGGCGCAGAGCACAGTTGCTGCGTATTTAGTATGAAAAAACATTTACAATTATTTCAAATCGATATTAGAGCAATAATACAAATGGATGACCTTCTTCTCCTCTCTCTCTCTCTCTCTCTCTCTCTCTCTCTCCTCTTCCGTGTTCCGTCAATCTGATGTTGTTTCCCATTTTTTCTCCCGTGATTCTCATTATGTTCGTGTGTCTACTCGTTTTGTCCGCTTTGTCTATCATGCATTTGTTCGTGCGTGCGCATTTTTTCTTTTTTCTTTTTTTTTATCACTCACAGGCTTGTAGAAGTTAGCTCCACGATTGGTAGGAGTCTTGATACCATTCGTGATCGTCGCCGGAAACACCGCCTAGCGCGGCGGCTCTGCCTCCGAATCCTATGTCACCGCCACCACCACCACTGCCACCATTCACACTCGCCAATCCGTACGCATTGCCCAGTGGTTGTTGGGCGAGGGGCTGGTTTCCCCAGTTGCTCTGGAAGCGACGCTTAGATTCCCCCTGGTTCTGGTGACCCCCGTCAAATTTTCGTTTACCTGCTGTAAAAAAACAGTGGAGAAGTGATGAAACCGGTAAATCACTCGTGATCGAGGAGCGACAACAATATTGTATCACATATTGAAATGGCATCCTCTTTACCATCGTGCGACGTTTGCAAAGTACTTATACGTAGGTAGGTGAAAGAAATCTCGAAAGTTCTCGACGTGTGGTGGAATTGCGTGTGGTGTGTATGTTTCTGAGTGACGGAGATTGCCGGTGATTTGTAGGAGACGCGCTCGGACGGTGCGCGCGAAGATTAAACGTAAAGCGTGAGTTTTAACGTGAGATATTCCACTTACTTCGTAGAACCACCTTTGGAATCAACACCTTGATACGACCCAATCAATGTTGTTCGTGAAAAGATCTCAATTAGAATTTTAATTTTAACGCAAGAGATACACCAAATCAGAGAACGTAGCTCATGGAAATATTTCAACTCATACTTTCTCCTCTTCTTCGCTCATTATCGTACTTGATTAAAAATACATATATTTTCATCGTACATATTTCGCGTTCTATCTCTGATAAAAATCAATATATTGGAATTATTCTACAGTGACTTACTTCGTACAAAGTCAAAGGATGCTATTAATATGTGCGTTCAACTTAATGCTCTCTTTTAGTCACATACAAACGAATTAACCTACTGCTCTGTTACAATCGGGTGAATAGGACTCGGATATCTTGGAGGGGAAGTGGGTTGGATCGTTTACTGCAACGTGAACAATAAAAATCCGTGATTATGTTGCAAAAACGTACGACAACTTGACAAGTTAATTATATATTACGAATAGCATTATCAAAACCTTCGGCGTGAGTGAAAATATCTCTCATTAGCAAATCTGTAAAGAAAACGAGAGTAGAATTAAACATCTCGCTGTATATAAAGTTCAGTGACTCTGTAAGAAATATGCTCCGTACAATGATTCTGTTCAAAATTAGCTCTGTAAAGTAAATACAGTTTATTACGAGCGCTACAAATTTCAGATTCAATGTGACAATTTTCCGCGTATACAACAACCAACAATTTAAATGCATTCGTGACGGGGGGGAGGGGGACTCAATGTTTCACAAAGATTCAATTCTATATATATATATATATATATATATATGTATGAGAAAAGGAAAGGGGAGGTATGATCAATTTATTACGTCGCCATGAACAATAGAGAAGATTCTCCGATCGGAATGCTACGATCGAATGTGCGCGTAATCCGCGTCTTGTCTCACGAAATGAGCGTGAAACGGGAGCAGAGAATCTTACCGAAAGTTTGCAAGCAAACAAGTCTTGACAAAGAGCTTCCTAGCTAAGAGTGCTATTTAGAGCAACTAAGAAAGCTCGAGCCAAACATTTAAGGAAGCTGCGTTATATGTCGTTACGATCTCTATAAAATGTAGTAGCAGACTAGTGATCAAGAGGCGAGATTCTATGTACAATCATCGATGCGCAAATAGAATTTCCCGTGAGCATTATGGCTGGCATATAAATATATATATTCATAGTCAGATATATAATAATATTCTTATATTTACAGATAATTGTACAGTCTTATATTTAAGATCGTCTTAAGTTCATCTTCAGATGCTTCGTGGTTAATGGAACAATCTGTATAGTATCGGATGAGCTCGAGACGATCTTAAATATAAGATCCGACTATGAATAACACCCTATAATTAGCGCTAAAAGAATCAAGCGGTACTATTAGCTATGCCTTGTAACTCCTAAAAAGAAATGTTATCTGTTGCGTACGCGAAACGTTAAACTCGAGAGGCTCGATATCACTCGATTATCTTGGGTTATCTCAAATCGGATCCAAGAATAGATGTAACACGGTGCTTCAACATTGAAATAATCTCCATCGTATCAAACTGTGCGTGCGTGTATGTGGTGTATGTGCGCGTGTGTGTGTGAGCTTACAGACGTCAGAGTATATCGTATAGTAAACAGAGTCGACTTGTGTATGTGTGCGCTCATGCGTGTATGCTGATGTGTGACTGTACGGGAGAAGAGAGAATGTAAATAGTGTGTAAAAGATGATTCATTGTGGAGATACAGACCATCCTCACCTGGTAAACTTCCCTTGGCGCGGACCCCCCCACGAGCGGCCAGTCGCTGGACCCCACGGGCCCCTGAAGCTGCGGGGTTGCGTCCCCCCCTGACTGGCCCACGGGCTTGCGGGCCACCGATTCGGCCACGTGGCACTACTCCACGGCCACGACCAGCCTGACCAAATAACACACACCCAAATTGTTACCCCATCAATCTATGGTATACCTTATCGCATATGTCTGCTGTTTAATTTCGCTCTTTTTTTTTTGTTCTCTCTTAGTTCTACGCATATCTTCCGCCCTATATCTAATTATACACAGGTAATATTTCACAATATGTAGCGACCCTTGAAAGAAAGACATAGGTAATAGTAGATAATAGTAGTCACGTAGTAGTAAGGCACAGTGAAGGTGAAAGAATCAGTCGACACAACGTTGAATAATGTGATCAACGGTGTTTCCTGTGTGACGGTGTATGCGTATTGCACTTTGCATACCACTGAAGACGTATACGCGCGCACAGGCTCTTATACGTACGTATACGTCACGTTAACATGGAAATAGGTGAGTGAGAGCGACAGAAAAGAAGGAGGAGGAGAAGAAGAATCGGACGACAGTAGTAGCGTGAAGGAGAAATAATTGAAAGAGAGCGATAGAGAGAGAGAGAGAGAGAGAGAGAAAAAAGGACACATAAAGACGGACGGAGAGTGGGAGCGGGGGAGGGGTAGAAGAACAGAGGCGGTGGAAAAAAATAGAAAGAGAGATCACCTATAACCAAATCTTACTAACCACGTTCTTACATACAGCAGGAGGAGTTAGCAGAGTTATCCAATGTAGTAAAGCGAAAAGCGAACTGATTGGTTGGCGTAGGAACTTTTAAGCGACACAAGCTACTGCACTGGCAGCTAAAACAAAATTCAACCAAGGCGTATTATAATATAAGCGGCGTAGCATCATTAAGCGGTGTTTGGTTTAGGCATAAGCGATCTTATATANGGGGGGGGGGGGGGGGAGGCACGGGGACGGGAGTGCCAAAGCGTGAGACGTGTTCGCTGGTTCACTACCAGTCCATCACACGAGAGACGCAATCTTCTCTATATTCCGTCATTTACCCCCTCGTGGTCTATCTGTCACCTAATTTCACACAATTCAGTGTACAAATATATATTATAAAACATCCTTACTATTATCGTCAATATCGCTATATCACATTTGTCACGTGGTGAATGCACAGTAATGCACACTGTTCAAGTAACAAGTTATCGGTTCGAACATTCATCATTTACACATCGTCCCTCAGTTCCGAAACTGCTGCTGCTGCTGTTGCTAATACAACTTGCGACAAACTTTTCCTCCTGCTTGACAAATTGGCACATTGAATCGAGCTGAACGTTATTACTTAGAACGCTTTTACGGAGAGACGAGCCGTACGTACGCGTACGTGTCGTCAAACGTTTATCCAGATATTAACCAGACATGAACAGCAGCGCATCTGTAAGAAACTCTCGTCTGTAAGAGAGAGTGGATTAAAGGGTACGATGCGCGCACGCGGTGAGCGCGTCATGTACATAGCTGTTTAGCGCAATACAACAGGCATCACGAGAAGATGAAGAAAAAGTGATAGATGCGTTTTGTCGAGAAGGAACGGAGGAAACGTGTTCGTTCCCTCGGGGGGTGGTCGAATTCTCTTCGGCCACTGTTGTAGTTCTCATTGCTGTTGTATGGTACGAGTATGATCACTTCCATGTTGTGAAAAACGAGTGTACGAAATGACGAATGATTTAAAGAGAGAAAAACGCCCATAGTTTTGGCATCGCATACGCAATGCGAATGTTCTGTCACACGAGGTACAAGGATACGCGATACGACGATAAGAAATATCCGCGAAAGAAAAAGAAAAGAAAAGAGACGATGCGCAGACGCACGAGCGACGCGCGAAATGAAAAATGACAAATCGAGACTGATAGATCACTGGGAGAGAGAAAAAAGAATAAAAACAGAAAATTAACATCTGGAGGTCGGTCTCTGCCGCCTCGATAGAGGACGGCAGCGTGATCGAGAGTTACGTGAAAAATAAAAGGCAGAAACGCGCACGTTAATAGAACAAGGCACGGAGGTTATGAGTGAGTCGAGGGTTCTTCTTGCGCTTCTCGTTCTTTCCTCTAAAGCGACGGCTAACTACGACGCACAACATCATGGGATGAGGAACACAGCAGCCTGACGGGATATTATAACACATAACCATTGAATGCGCGTATATATATATATATATCGTATTTGTCGCATAGCGAGACACTGCCAAGAGAGAAAGTTGATCGCAATATGTGATAATTGAAGAAAAAAAAATATATACAAAAATAAAGAGAGAAACGAGACGGTATAATTTCGCAGGGCGCCCATTTGCGCTCCCTTACGGTATTTGGATAACCCTGCAACTTGACATAGAAAAAGTATATATATATGTGTGTGTATATATATACATCATCATATCCGAGCCACGAGACGCAACGTCGCTCTACAGAAAAAAAGAAAAAAAAATATATATATACATATATAAATTATTTGACTAAGATTAAAGGAGTGTGACAGTACATGGGAGAAAAAAAGAAAACTCCTGTACACTGGTTTCTTGCCTATGTCTAGAATTCTCCTAAAGCTGCACTAGAGTATGTGGTATTGGGGTAATGTTAGGGGATTTCCTGCAACACAAAATGTGCGATCTTCTTCCTTGGGAGGACTCTCTCTCTCTCTCTCTCTCTCTCTCTCTCTCTCTCTCTCTCTCTCTCTCTTTCATTCGCGAAGCGCAATCTCCCGCGTCTTCCATTTTTTTTGGCCGTACATCTTTCATGTTTGTCTTGTATATCATCTCCGTTTTTCTTTCTCTACTTTGTTTTTTTTTGTTTGCAAATTGCTTTTCCCGGCTGTATATTTGCTTGAAATTTAGAATGGGTCTACCATGGCTCAGATATGATTTGCAAGCAATTTGAAAGTGGCAATGTGTTCGGATTAGAGGGTCTATAATTAGTATCGAAGCGTTATGGTGTTAGTTATATATAATATATGTACTAGAGATCTTAAAGAGGCTCTATGTAAATACAATGCATTCACAGTGTGCCCTTAACAGCATTCTCTCCCGCTCTTTCTCTCTTCCTCCTCCTTCTCCCCTCCATTCTCGCTTTTTCTCTCCCTCCCTCCCTCCCTCCCTCCCTCTCTCTCTCACTCTCTCTCACTCTCTCCCTCTCACTCTCCCTTTCTCTCATCTTTTTCTCTGAGTTTATTGTAGAATGTATATAATTCGGATGAGTGCTATTATTCGTATACTGTGGATGCGGTGCATTTAACAACGTTATGAAACGGGATTGCGCTAAGATGTGCATCCCCCTGCGCACGTTAATATAGTGATTACAATGAAGCTAGCGCATATCAGTTAGCCAGCGTTAATTTTACACGCTCAGACAGAAAATGTGGGCAAGGTGATCTGGATTAAAGTAAATTGGAGATGTACAACATACTTAGGAATATATATCCGCGAACACTGTGCCACAATCAAACTACCGCTGATATCGAAAAAAAGATAATGATTCAGGAACGAAAAACGACTTTTAGAACCATTAGAAAAAGGCGACCCACCGGTTGAGGCTGCCTGCCCCTCCCTCTGGCAGGCGGCGGAGGCGGCGCATAATCGAAATAGTAATCTTCGTATCGATAATAGTCATCGTAATAGGGATCACTGTAGCCACCTCGATAATCCCCATAACCGTAATAGTCGTAATCATAATCTATAAAAACACACATTACAAATAGACCCAAATTTAGCCACGATATATCCAATTGACAACTTACTGAGATAATAACTGGTTTCAATATAAGAAAGGCATGCCGGGAAAAGATAATTTTGAAAGTGCCAATAATAATGAGATAGAAACGAAAGATAAGAAAAACAAAAAAAAAGTTAATTTGTATATCGCATAAAGTACGATGACATGAGAAAACAATATTCTCCAGAAATTAAGAAATAAAGAGGAAAGAAGTACATTCTCTCGTATAAAAAAAAAAATAAGTAAAAATAAAAATGTTTTATGTATATATATGTATATATAAAAACACATTTAAGTTACAATATCGCACGGAAAAAATTATATACCGATTACCCTACCACCATCACATATCCTGAGATAGACAGAGTTACAAGGTCAATCGAAAATTTCACGCATACTCCAAATCAAAATCCGCAAAACACGATTATAATTTCTTTATGGGAACGATATCAAATATCTCAATTTAATTCCGGCATGAAGACTTAATCGACGAATACAGAAGAATTTAATTCGACCATAACGTAGAGATGCGAGCCTGGCATAAAAATTTTTCTCAACTAATTGTTAATACATCTTAAGAGATGCTCACGGGAATACGAAAATATACTGATTATATAGTCTCGAAGATATCTAATACGATAAGTCGTATGGAAAGAGCTTACGAGGCTTTCGTAAAATATATGTATATTTTGTATTGGAGGAAGTTAGTTTTCGATGACCTCGCTATACGTATAATTTAAACTGGGCATGAACTCAACGTAAAAAGGAAGAAAATACACAAGACTACACATAATACTCTACAACTGTTGCATTCATCATTCATCATCGCGGCTTACCTATTTCCTTGAGAGCTGTAAAACAGATTTGTGAATTGATGATGCATACACAATCAACGACGGACACACGCTCACATAAATGAAAACAGAATGGTAGGGCTTAAAACTCTCCTTGGCAATGCGTCTGATTATTCTGTGCACTGCCACAAAATAATTTTTCAACTAGGGCACCAAACGAGAAAAAAAAGTACAAAACAGATAAATACACATGCAATTATCTTTGGTAACGAAAAAAATTAATTAAACAGGTGTCACAGGAAGTGGTAGTGGTAAGGCAACAAGGTGCTCATGTTACAATGCTAAGCACACATTTAACATATGTATATATATAAATATGTATCCATGTACATATGTATGTAACACAAAAAAAACCTAACGTCTAGACTGACATTAATCGCAACAGCCGTATTTCTCATTCACCTTGTAATCGAATAAAAAAGTAAATTAAAAAGATTTTGATTATTCTCAGACATTCCAAAACTAGGCTCAGACCAAATACTACACATAAATGAGACACTTAAACATTACTATACATTAAGTTAATTTTCTCATGACTATTATTTATAAACGTTAACTTGATCTTTGTTATCTGAGCACTTTCTCACTACAACCTTACGAAACAATTGAGACATTCTTACAGAAAAAAAAAAAGATTATTTACGATATATCATGTACACGATGATACAAATGTAATGTTTTATTCATGTATTAATATAATTTAAAAGTAATTTTCTTCAATATATATTTTATATATTCTTAATGTTTTATATATTTAGAAGATATTACATAAAACTCTAAAATGCTACTTTGCTCTGTGTATGCATTGAAAATTATATTTATAACAAAGGGATAATGCGGTTTTGGTCGAGGTCAAGAAGAAAAAGGTTTCAATCGAGAGAATCATTATGTAATATAGGAATGCTCAGTAAGTATTTCTTGCTCACACGTTCAAAATAGCCTATCATGCGCGTAAGCCAAGGTATGTAGTGAGATAGTGAAAAATCCCCAAAAGCATGCGGGATATTTGCGTTACATAAATCAAAAATAAAATAAAATAAAATAAAATTGAAGTTATTATTTAAATTATTTAAAAGTATATATTTAAAAATCTGAAATATGTGTATATATATATATATATATATATATATATAACTGATATATATGTATAAATAAAAACAATGTCTTAATCTGAAGATATTTCCACTTGCAAATTAAGCGTCTTGTAACTTTCATTTAAAAAAGAAAATTTACGATATCTACTAGATAAGAACTTATTTACTGATAAATTCTTGATCTTCAATTTCTTAACCCATCTCTTGTCACGTACAAGATATTGCACTGGCTCGAGATATCGTACAGCTATAATCTATGATCTTTAGTTCGACGCTTCAAATTTTACCAAATATCATGGTCCAAGCCTAACAGATAATTCACAACAATTGCAACTCATAGTTAAAAAACAAATCGGACGTTTAATAACTGTTACGACTCGAGAGAAACGAAAACATACGCAGGCATCGTGTTATACTGATATACGTAATATATGTAAAGAATTACTGAAGTTTGCGTTTTTCTTGCATATCATTCACGGACGCGCAGCGGTCCTTCTAGAGGCTCTTCTAGGCTCTCGAGAAAATGTGAAACGACGTAGCAAAAAAAATTTAGAAGAGTTGGAATTGGTACTAACCGTAATCGCCACGTCCCATCTGTCCACGCATACCTGCGCCGGTACCTCGAGGTCCTTGTGCAGGTCCGCGAACTGGCATTGGTCCTCCCATCATGCTTGGGTGAGATGGAGATCCACTATGAAAACAAATATCGAAGAATCACATAAGTATCTTTAATTGAAATTCTCCCATGAAATATCAAATCAAGGAAGAAATATATTAACTTTGTCAAAAGGAATGTCGAAGTGTTGAAAGTGATATACAAGTTAGAATTAAGAAGTGGATCATAGATACAAGTGAATCACTTACCCGCCTCTACCCTGTAACATTTGCATCATTCGTCTTTCCCTAGCGCGCAGCATCTCTTCTTTCTTTTTCTTGTCAGACGGTGGTTTTGCCAATGAAACTTCTATATGGGATCCACCCATTTCCTTTCCGTTCAGTTCGTTCATTGCCTGAAAAAAGCACATATACACTTTTTGAAAATGCGTCCTTCCGCGCTGAAGGTTAAATCCATGTCTTAAAAAAAATATTATTTACCCTAACAGCGTTATCTCTATCTTCAAAATGTATAAAAGCGTAATCCTTGATTTTCTTCACTCGTTCGATCTTTCCATATTGCTCAAAGCTTTCCTTTAGCTTCTCTTCCGAGCAATCTTGCGTCAAATTCCGCACATAAAGTACACGCACCTGAAACACAGAGAAGTTCGCGATATAATAAGTCACTCAAGTGACAATGCAACTACTAGTGACTCAAAGAGTGACGCAACATCGTTGAAATCGTCAAACTCGATCATTATTATTATCATGTTCATTCATTTACTTTGGACATGGTTTGTTCATCCGGTTCCTCTTGAGGGTCGGCCCAGTCAACAATAATATCACATCCCCAAACCTTGATACGTCCAGTGCTCAATCTTCGTTTGGCTAAGGAAGCTGCTTTGTGAGATTCATACTCCAAAAAGCAAAAACCTCTATTCTTCTTTTTGTCATCCGGTGAGCTGTAGATAATCACCTCAGTCAGGCCAGCTATATGTTGAAAAAAAGCATAGAAGAAATGAATAAGATTCGCTTGATCCTGACCAGATTCGCAGGGTGTTTTAAGGATTGCTACTAGTAAAGAATGGAAACTGTGCCAAAACACTATATATATATATGCACACATATTATATATATATATATATATATATATATATATATATATGTGTGTGTGTGTGTGTGTGTGTGTGTGTATATACATATATATATTCAAGCAGCTATTACGATTTATGTATCTAATGATATTGGTTGTAAGTAAAAAGTTTGCATTTTATATTTTCAAATAGATACACTAATCACACATATGATCTATCTTGATCATTCTAGAGTATTCAATGTACTTGGATCAAATTGCATGTTATTACAACAGTCATGTGTTATTCGTAAGACAAGTATCGTAAATTTATTCCGATTACGATTAACAACAATTACTTGTATAAATACATATATTATTGTACAATACAAATACTGATTTCCAGTAACTGTTTTATACACGCGTTTCCTCAACATAAAAGAACAATTTGTCGATAACAAAAAAAAAAAGATGTTATAATCATAGATTGCATCGGTATTAGATCTTTCATTGGTCAATTTGCAAGATTTCCATAGCACTTGATTATATGTACCTTCACAACACGGGATTATTTTATTATTTTGTCTATCGACTTTTCTCTGAATATTATGATATTTGTACTTTCCAAGTTGCAGAGATGTGACAAATTTTATATATATTTTTTTTCACACATTCTTATTTGAAAAAATAAAGCAAAATCTAAAAATCAACACCCCTAAAGATTATAAAACAAAAAAAAAAAAAA